GATGTAGCAGATCGTACACGGTTGCCACTCTGGTGATATACCATCAGTACAACAATCAACACTAACTGGATGTAGCAGATCCCACACGGTTGCCACTCTGGTGATATACCATCAGTACAACAGTCAACACTAACTGGATGTAGCAGATCGTACACTGTTGCCGCTCTGGTGATATACCATCAGCACAACAGTCAACACTAACTTGATGTAGCAGATCGTACACGGTTGCCGCTCTGGTGATATACCATCAGCACAACGGTCAACACTAACTGGATGTAGCAGATCGTACACGGTTGCCACTCTGGTGATATACCATCAGTACAACAGTCAACACTAACTGGATGTAGCAGATCGTACACGGTTGCCACTCTGGTGATATACCATCAGTACAACAGTCAACACTAACGGGATGTAGCAGATCGTACACGGTTGCCACTCTGGTGATATACCATCAGCACAACAGTCAACACTAACTGGATGTAGCAGATCGTACACTGTTGCCACTCTGGTGATATACCATCAGTACAACAGTCAACACTAACTGGATGTAGCAGATCGTACACTGTTGCCACTCTGGTGATATACCATCAGCACAACAGTCAACACTAACTGGATGTAGCAGATCGTACACGGTTGCCACTCTGGTGATATACCATCAGTACAACAGTCAACACTAACTGGATGTAGCAGATCGTACACTGTTGCCACTCTGGTGATATACCATCAGCACAACAGTCAACACTAACTGGATGTAGCAGATCGTACACGGTTGCCACTCTGGTGATATACCATCAGCACAACGGTCAACACTAACTGGATGTAGCAGATCGTACACTGTTGCCTCTCTGGTGATATACCATCAGTACAACAGTCAACACTAACTGGATGTAGCAGATCGTACACGGTTGCCGCTCTGGTGATATACCATCAGTACAACAGTCAACACTAACTGGATGTAGCAGATCGTACACTGTTGCCACTCTGGTGATATACCATCAGTACAACAATCAACATTAACTGGATGTAGCAGATCCCACACGGCTGCCACTCTGGTGATATACCATCAGTACAACAGTCAACACTAACTGGATGTAGCAGATCGTACACGGTTGCCACTCTGGTGATATACCATCAGCACAACAGTCAACACTAACTGGATGTAGCAGATCCCACACGGTTGCCACTCTGGTGATATACCATCAGTACGACAGTCAACACTAACTGGATGTAGCAGATCGTACACGGTTGCCACTCTGGTGATATACCATCAGTACAACAGTCAACACTAACTGGATGTAGCAGATCGTACACTGTTGCCACTCTGGTGATATACCATCAGCACAACAGTCAACACTAACATTCAGTAGCACGTATTTATAATGTTAAATATATCAAATAAAGGACACCTCACTTAACTTATCATAGCAATGTATAAGTGAGAAACTGATTGTATTGAAGATGATAATATGGTAGAAAGAGTACAACATTACTAATGAAATTCTCGCCATATTAGAAAATGGTACTTATTGTTACCGTTCCCGGCGCCCGTCATATGGGGACCAAACAAAACCTGGCCAGCCTGGAGTCGGGTTGATGTATCAGCACGTAGGTATATACATGCAGTATTCTTACAAACACCTTTGAATATCTCCTTACCTATAAGCCCCCTTACAGTATAAATACTTCACTCACTGGCCCAATTTGGCAATATTTACAAATGTAATCGAACATGAAGGGCTGTTTGTCGGCGCTACCTCGGACAGAAGACTCCACTCTGTCAATGCCAGCCAGGTGTGACGGCGAGCACCTGTGTTTGGGCGCATCACCAGGTAGGGGAGCGTTGCTATTGTACGCTCACGCCTTGATTTGTATAAAACACGGAGCGTGTTGAGACTAGGCAGAAGACGACTGTTGTCATGTCGTCACCGTCGCTCAAGGCCGTAGACTGTGCATAGTTCTGTATACTTGAAGTAAAAAGATATTATTTATGATAGTAGCTGTTTGGTTAGTTGCTGCGTCTGTCTCGGTTACACATTCATTCATCGGACGGTCAGCACTATGCAACTTAAGCTTACATTATATTTGGTGAATATTCATAAATTTGTCTGTTTTAAAGCTAATACAAAACGCGATCGACTGAAATTGTATGGTGACAAAAAGCATAGAGGGTACAGTCTTGTCATGCACAGCGGGACGTATCAGTACATTGCCTGAGTTCATCCATTATAGTCAGAAGGCACCAGAAGTAATCATTCATGGTCAGAAAGCACTAGAAGTGATCAGAAATGATCCCTAATGGTCAGAATGCAAAAGAAGTGATCCGAAATGATCCCTCATGGTCAGAAGGCACTAGAAGTAATCCGAAATGATCCCTCATGGTCAGAATGCACTAGAAGTGATCCGAAATGATCCCTCATGGTCAGAAAGCACTAGAAGTAATCCGAAATGATCCCTAATGGTCAGAATGCAAAAGAAGTGATCCGAAATGATCCCTCATGGTCAGAATGCAAAAGAAGTGATCCAAAATGATCCCTCATGGTCAGAAAGCACCAGAAGTGATCCGAAATGATCCCTAATGGTCAGAATGCACTAGAAGTGATCCGAAATGATCCCTCATGGTCAGAAAGCACTAGAAGTAATCCGAAATGATCCCTCATGGTCAGAATGCAAAAGAAGTGATCCGAAATGATCCCTCATGGTCAGAAGTCACTAGAAGTGATCCGAAATGATCCCTCATGGTCAGAAAGCACCAGAAGTGATCCGAAATGATCCCTCATAGTCAGAAAGCACTAGAAGTGATCCGAAATGATCCCTCATGGTCAGAAGGCACTAGAAGTGATCCGAAATGATCCCTAATGGTCAGAAGGCACCAGAAGTGATCCGAAATGATTCCTAATGGTTAGAAAGCACTAGAAGTGATCCGAAATGATCCCTAATGGTCAGAAAGCACTAGAAGTGATCCGAAATGATCCCTCATGGTCAGAAGGCACTAGAAGTGATCCGAAATGATCCCTAATGGTCAGAAGGCACCAGAAGTGATCCGAAATGATCCCTAATGGTTAGAAAGCACTAGAAGTGATCCGAAATGATCCCTAATGGTCAGAAAGCACTAGAAGTGATCCGAAATGATCCGTTATGGTCAGAAGGCACTAGAAGTGATGTTAAATGATCACAATCACTCAGAAACCAAAACCCAGGCTTTTGGGAAAGTAGGGTGTTTCGTCTTATTGATATATTTGACATGTTACTGATGAACCTGGAGAAAATAGGAAGGACGCGCTTTTTATGTTCACTCAGATAGGTAATGGCTTTCTGTCAGAAGTTACTTTGATATATATCTTCGGTAGCTGACATTGTATTACAGTTATCATAAACAGCCATGTGCCGATACATCTAAGATAAGGTCAGAACGAATCCCCCGCAGGTTGTGGTGACCACACCATAGCTGATGATGACCACCAGACAAGGTATACACTCATGTTTCATGGTGGCTGAGAATGAAGCAAGCGAAAATTGGTTGTTTGATGTTGATGAATTTGACGCGCGGATATTATAATTGAGTTTTTTACCTTTATGTTTGCAGCATATCTGCTACTGTTTTCAGCCAAGTAACGTTTTACTTACGTTGTAATTGTTTGTCAAATCCAGTTTGTTAGTGTATAAGTGTACTTCTTTTGCCCGGTAGTGTAACAAGGGATCAATAGGTTTGGTCGGTGGTGACGATTCTTGAAACGGGATGAATGAACCGATGAACAAACCACCTCGCACAAATTTGTTTTTGTAGTAATAGATAATAAGCATGCCCTTTTTATAATATATTTCCCTCTAATAATTTTAACACATATTCAATTTGGCATTTATTGTTGACAATATCGACAAGTTTGCTCAGTGATACATTCAGACAGAAAATGTCAGATAATTCAAATATTTACCGGACTTTTTAAATCTCAACCTTTCTTCAGATCGGTGTGTATGGTTGAGAAATACAATCACAATAAACAGGTAACGAGTTTGTTTAGTCGTGAATGTGTGTTTCTTTAATTCTATCAATAGGATTTTCTGTTTTCCTAAACAAGTGCTTCAACTTCACAGCAAAATATGTAAGTGTGTTAGATCCAGTTTTTTCATACTATACAAACGCTGACACATCAATTTGTTGATCGGGCTGTGTTCACTTAAAAGTGATCAAATATTTATACAGCGCTGTGCTCGGTTCTGATCATACTTCATAGTAAAAGGATCGATTATATAATTGTCGGCTGTCGGTTGTCTGGTCGGTTTACATGTACAATGGAGATTCTTCAAAGCGACATCCATGCGAAGACAAACGTATGGTCATATGAAAACGCTGTAAAAAAATGATGAATTGCGTACTCGGCAGGAACAACACGGGGACGTTGTGAGGATGGTCACGGCGACGGAAAAGAGACTCTGTCCTTCGGTCAATATGATAGGTTTCGAAATATTCCTGTTATTACTCTTGGATTTGCGGCGTTTGTGGGGGCGAAAACAAGGTTGGGAAATAATAGGAACTTTGTATCTGTTAACTAAAGATAGAATGGTGGCATGACATGTTCAAGTAGTGTTACTTTACTGTCAGGATAATTTCAACCACCCACTCACTCACTCGCGCCTTCTGTTTACATGACCTTGTACACCCCCAGTTCTTCTTCTTATGTGTGAGTGAGTGAGTGATCAGTCGTTGAGTGAGCGAGTGATCGGTGGTTGAGTGAGTGAGTGAGTGATCGGTGGTTGAGTAAGAGAGTCACTGATCGGTAGTTGATTGAGTGGATTTCATCTATGCGGTTCTGTGTGACGAAGCCATTGAAATCCTGAGAAACCGTATAGATGAATTCCACCCAACCTTAGACACCCGTCTAACAACTGACAGTATCATCCAACTGCTACACTCCTGCATCACCTCCACCTACTTCACCTGGCGGGACAACATATACCAGCAAACCCACGGCCTCCCCATTGGTTCTCCACTATCACCATTAATGACTGAAATCTTCATGACCCACCTAGAAGAAAAAGCCCTGGAAACATACCCCATTACACCCCTCTGTTGGTTCCGGAAAGTGGACGATACCTTTGTCATCCTTAAGCCTGGCAGCGACCCTAAAGCTCTACTAGACCACATCAACTCCCAAAACCCACGTATCCAGGTCACCATGGAAGAAGAGTCCAACCGTCAATTACCCGTCCTTGATGTACTGGTTCTCAAGGACACCATAAACTTAGTACTACAGTATACCGAAAACCAACCCACACAGACCAGACCTTCACTACGCTTCTAATCATCCACCCCAAGTCAAGAAAGGAATCATCTCCAACCTAGTACACCGAGCCCACAACATCTGCTCCACCAAGCAACACCTTACCGCGGAACTCCAGCACCTAAAACAAGTCTTCACACAGTACAACAACTACCCTGAACAGCTTGTGCAACAAACCATACAGAACTTCAACAATAAAACAGAGAGAGACCCACCCGTCAACAATCTGCACCCTTTGTCATCAGCCTCCCCTACTACGGAATTGTCAGCCACAAGGTCCAGAGACTCCCCAAAAAACAGGCTAACAAAGATGTTGTTTTCAAAAAGAAGTAACACCATCCCCAACATCATCAAAACGACTGGCAAGCCACCAACCAGCCAGAAACAACATCCACAGGGAACAGTTTACCACGTCTCCTGCGACTGTGGACAGACCTACGTAGGTGAAACATCAAGACCCCTCAAAATCCAAATCAAAGAACATCAGACCTCAGTATCCAAACTAGACTCAAAATCAGCCCTTTCAGACCACATCAAAGACAATCCCGACCATAGTATCCAGTGGGACAGAACCAAAACCCCAACAACCAACCTCAAAGACCATAAACTCAGGAAACTCCAAGAAGCCATCTACATCAAAAGACTCCAGCCATCAAGTTACTACACCAAGGTTACTACATACCTCCTGCATACTACCAAAGATCCTCATCATCGATAATCCCCTATTTATGTATACATCGCATCGTCCTCATAATCACCTATTTATGTATATCACAGGCTTCACTTCCCATTGTGTACTTTGCAGGCTTCAATTGTTAACGCGTTCATCGTAGCACTTGTGTTGTTATTGTGTCTGGCTTCTAGCCCTTGTGTTGTTATTGTGTCTGGCTTCCTAATCCCCATTGTATCTGTACAAACATCTGCACCGTCTTCTCTGCAGAGATTTACCCTTGTGGCGTACCTAAACCCATGGTTGTGGGTTCGAATCCCGGTTCCATGGCCACGGTTTGTGTTCTACGTTTGCCAGCACCATATCAAGCATCACCAGAATGGTAGATGTCTGAGACTTGTATCCCTCCCCGGCGTGCAATTTGATCGTGTTTACACAAACACTCAGAATGTCCATGGCTGAAACATTGTCACATACAACAGAAGAAATCTGGCAAATAATACATCTTAAACCTGTCCATCAAGAAAGAGGCAATACCTGGGGGTTGTGGATGGGTGGTCCTGTCGATGGATAGATGGTCTTGTCGAAGGATAGATGGTCTTGTCGATGGATATATAGTCTTGTGGGGGATAGGGTTTTGTGTGGATCCTAGTCGTGCGTTGTGTTGGTGGTTGACTTGTGTTGTGTGGTAAACTTGTGTTGTGTGTGGTTGACTTGTGTTGTGTGTGGTAGACTTGTGTTGTGGGTGGTTGACTTGTGTTGTGTGTGGTAGACTTGTGTTGTGTGTGGTAGACTGGTGTTGTGCCTGTAGACTTGTGTTGTGTGTGGTAAACTTGTGTTATGTGTGGTAGACTTGTGTTGTGTGTGGTTGACTTGTGTTGTGTGTGGTAGACTCGTGTTGTGGGTGGTTGACTTGTGTTGTGTGTGGTAGACTTGTGTTGTGTGTGGTAGACTGGTGTTGTGCCTGTAGACTTGTGTTGTGTGTGGTAAACTTGTGTTATGTGTGGTAGACTTGTGTTGTGTGTGGTTGACTTGTGTTGTGTGTGGTAGACTTGTGTTGTGTGTGGTAGACTGGTGTTGTGTGCGGTAGACTGGTGTTGTGTGTGGTAGACTGGTGTTGTGTCTGGTAGACTTGTGTTGTGTGTGGTAGACTGGTGTTGTGTGTGGTAGACTGGTGTTATGTGTGGTAGACTTGTGTTGTGTGTGGTAGACTTGTGTTGTGTGTGGTAGACTTGTGTTGTGTGCGGTAGACTGGTGTTGTGTGTGGTTGACTTGTGTTGTGTGTGGTAGACTTGTGTTGTGTGTGGTAGACTTGTGTTGTGTGTGGTAGACTTGTGTTGTGTGTGGTAGACTTGTGTTGTGTCTGGTAGACTTGTGTTGTGTGTGGTAGACTGGTGTTGTGTGTGGTAGACTTGTGTTGTGTGTGGTAGACTTGTGTTGTGTGTGGTAGACTGGTGTTGTGTGCGGTAGACTTGTGTTGTGTGTGGTAGACTTGTGTTGTGTGTGGTAGACTGGTGTTGTGTGTGGTAGACTGGTGTTATGTGTGGTAGACTTGTGTTGTGTCTGGTAGACTTGTGTTGTGTGTGGTAGACTTGTGTTGTGTGTGGTAGACTGGTGTTGTGTGTGGTAGACTGGTGTTATGTGTGGTAGACTTGTGTTGTGTCTGGTAGACTTGTGTTGTGTGTGGTAGACTGGTGTTGTGTGTGGTAGACTTGTGTTGTGTGTGGTAGACTTGTGTTGTGTCTGGTAGACTTGTGTTGTGTGTGGTAGACTGGTGTTGTGTGTGGTAGACTGGTGTTATGTGTGGTAGACTTGTGTTGTGTGTGGTAGACTTGTGTTGTGTGTGGTAGACTGGTGTTGTGTGTGGTAGACTTGTGTTGTGTGTGGTAGACTTGTGTTGTGTGTGGTAGACTGGTGTTATGTGTGGTAGACTTGTGTTGTGTGTGGTAGACTTGTGTTGTGTCTGGTAGACTTGTGTTATGTGTGGTAGACTTGTGTTGTGTGTGGTAGACTTGTGTTGTGTCTGGTAGACTGGTGTTGTGTGTGGTAGACTTGTGTTGTGTCTGGTAGACTTGTGTTATGTGTGGTAGACTTGTGTTGTGTGTGGTAGACTTGTGTTGTGTGTGGTAGACTGGTGTTGTGTGTGGTAGACGTGTGTTGTGTGTGGTAGACTGGTGTTGTGTGTGGTAGACTTGTGTTGTGTGTGGTAGACTTGTGTTGTGTGTGGTAGACTTGTGTTTTGTGTGGTAGACTTGTGTTGTGTGTGGTAGACTGGTGTTATGTGTGGTAGACTTGTGTTATGGGTTGATTGGTTATGTTGAGGAAGGTGGTCACAACTAAATGAAAGGTGAGTGAGTGAGTTGGGTTTAACACCATATCACGGCGTGTCAGGTTGATGAGCGACGAAGTGATTCCGAATTGTAGGTCTTTCCGAACTGGGAAAGTCTAGAGCCTATGGTCCTGTCAAACCAAGAACCATAATCGGAACGAAATGGGATTCGAACCTACAAGCCCTTCTTGCGTGACGAAAGGACAAACGTGTCACCACCGTCCTCCCCTACCGAAGAACTCTGGTTCTCGCGTCTTGGCACGGTACATCCCGGTAACCACTGATAGAGATGGCTTCTTTAGAGTCGAGTCATTCAAATCAGACCAATGCTATAATTACATCAAACAAGTGCAGGTTATGAAATGTACCAGATTTAAATATTCTGGGTAATTGAGGACAGTAATCGAAGATAGAAAATAGCTGAACATTATGAATGACATTGCTAAGTAAGGCAATGTTTCCGGGCTCCAAGTGGCAATGGTGTATACGAAAAGGGCCATATCATGACGGTCGATCAATTATTTTGTTCGGATTGGTTGGCAAGGCAACACGAACGCTACTAAGGATGTCGTACAATTGTAAGAAATTTAGAACTAATTCTACCATTGATGTATAATTGTACCAAGATCATGCAATGCATTGTTCATCGTGGTCCCATTAGGTACGATGACATGACATGTGATGTGAATCGATGTAATTGCATGCAACAAGCTTAACGCCATGTTGTCGACAACCTCAGACACCAAGGTAGGCTATTCACGACAGAACAGCATACAATCGTGATCTGTCAATCGTCATAAAACGAAAATAAAAATCGCAACTTCCTATCAGCATAAATCAATGATTCTATACAAATCCGAGAACGCTACTTACAAATTCAGGAGTCACGTGGAATATATCGAACTGCCTATGTTGTGGTTCGTCTCCATGGCAACCGAGTATGGAACGGCGGATTGTGTATCACGTCTATCGTCCAAGTAGCTGGCAATGGAGACAAACCACCGTCCTCAGGTGCTCAGTGTGTGGGACAAACACAACGTTGTACTTGTTGTAAAAAGAAAGGTTAGTTTAGTTGTGGTGTGAGGTGTTTATTTGTTGATTGACGTTTGTAAACAGCTGAGAGAACACAACCTCCTGCTGATGTCTTTCTCACTTCCGGGATGGTTGTTAACAGTTGTTAACCGAGGATGTAATCAGTTATATCATGTATGTCGTGTCTATTTCACCACATAAAACACACATCACATTATTGTACCACAAACACTTTTTGACTTGATGATGGTATTTAAACTTAATTTTATCATACACTATTTATGTCATATTGAATGTTGTTAAATACGTCCCAATATCTGATACATTACTTCTGTTTCATGAAACTTAAAACAGCACAGAAATTCAATCGTTATGAAAAATCGGAGAAAATACACACTATAGTTACGGCCTTTGTCTTCCACGGATCAGTATAATCTAAAACAATCTTTTTATATCGTTTATACATCTATCGTATACGTATTTTATATATTCAGAAAGAAACAGTAATAATTTTACTGTTTATAGATTTCGTAGGGGAATATAACCTTTAAGGTGTTTTAATGATAAATGTGCCAATAGGATAATTTTTATAAGTATTTAAGAAAGTGAAGGATATTGGAACACGAGCAAGTCTTTAAGGCAGAATAATTTTCTCAGGAGATACTGATGGACAGTCGAGTGATGAGTACTTAACTAGCCGCGGTCGATGGGTAGGGTTGTGCTAGGGGCCACGTTGGACACCAATACCTGTTAATGCTAATTGTAAGTGTCACCGCAAGTAGCCGTTAAATTGCTGATCCGGTGTGAGGCAGTATTTACTGTAACAGTGTGAGACTGGCAGGTGCTGTTGGTGAAGCAAGACTTACTATTTTACTAACACATGTCATAACTCATAGGCAGTTATCAAATCATAACATTTTCTTCACTGATTTGCCTTTTACTCCATTTCATTAGGTTTTAGATCAATATTTTATGTTTAATATTTTCACGGGATCAAAATGAGTCTTTGTTTCATAAATATTTATAAACTCCTTCGTTGGTGTTTATTCTTGAAAGTGCTAATTGTTGTTTTACATATGTGGGTTAAATAATCAAACTCGAAATGACATTTAATTCAAAATTTATAACAAAAGATCATTTCACCATAAAAGATCGTTTAATTACATTCATGCTGATGACCTACTTTTACTAATATTGCGCCAATATCCAAAGGACTGACAATACTCTGTCAGTATGACAAACACGCACTCCTTGATTGAACAAGCATACCAGTGTCAGTGATGTAGGTCAAACAGCCGATCGAAGTGTGTTTACCCACGTAAGACATCGCAAATTCGTTCGTTTGTGTTTCTGGTTTTCCGATAAAAGCTTAATACCGCTGTGAAGAAGATTCGTGCGCTGCTGACAATGTATCGAACCGCTACAGCTGATAAAATGTCAACCTTAGCTGGAACGCAGTTTCATGTAAGCTGCTGGAACTTGTAGCAAGTCCTCGGGGAGCTCGTGCTGTACGTTATTCCAGCGTGAAGCACGAGCTGTTTCTGCAGGTTATGTCAGGTTGATGCGCCCCAGAAGAAACGGTCGATGCTGTGATGATTTACTGAGTGTTAACGTCGTGGTTTACCAAAACCTCTCTACAAATTTGATCATAGTATAACTTATTATTGATGACATGCTAGTAGATGTAAAACTTTGGGGGGCGGTGGGGTAGCCTAGTGGTTAAAGCGTTGGCTCGTCACGCCGAAGACCCGGGTTCGAATCCACACATGGGTACAGTGTGTGAAGCCCATTTCTGGTATCCCCCGCCGTGATGTTGCTGGAATTTTGCTAAAAGCGGCGTAAAACCAAACTCAGTCAGTCAGTAAAGGTTTGGAGGATAAAATGCAATATTCCAGCTATATGGCGGCGGTCTGTAAATGGACCAGACAAGCCAGTGATCAACAGCATGAGCATCGATCTGCGTTCTTGGGAACCGATGACATGTGTCAACCAAGCCAGCGAGCCTGACCACCCGATCCCGTTAGTCGCCTCTTAGGACAAGCATGGGTTACTGAAGGCTCATTTTAACCCGGATCTTCACGGGTGCCAGTTTCTGAATAAAGTTACGTTGAAGTCATCTCAATATGCCATTAATGTCAAACTAAATCTCCCTGCTAAACAGTGAAGAGTTTTACGCAGTATATCAGATATACGGCGGACCTGCTAAACTTATATGTATGGTCTACCTGTTCTTATACCGGCATGATTTTGATGCTAACGTATATTTGACAAATTTGCTTTTCAATATAACCTTGTATATGTGTGTTCTTGTGGATTAGGAAACTTGCTGCCGTCGTTTGCCGGCTGAAACATGGCCCATGACACATCAAATGTTAACACACAAACATAGACTGAAATAATCCATTTCTTGACAACCTGTCAATGAAATTCCAGTTTTAAACTCACGTTTAATTTTGTAATACATATCTGTCATTGAGCTGATTCAACTTGTGATTTGAGGGTGATTCGTAGAAGGATCTTAGAACAACTTGAAAAATAGTATTTTAACAACATTTTGCTTTTTTCAGAACAATGGTCTGATATCTGGCAGTTATCCGGAGACCTTTGCCTTACACCCACAATAGCAACAGCAGTGTACAGAGCTTCCACGTCATGACGTCACGAACTGTCCCTTCCCTGCTTCTAGGGCTTACAATGGTGCTATGTTTATGTTCATTATCAACAGCTCAAAGTAAGTAAAACTAATATGCACTTGCAGTTTAGGAAACAAAGTAAGTTTCTTCTTTAGATCTAATGCAGGTTTTTGCACTTTTTCATTACAGAGCATGTTGAATAATGTGTAGTACTCGCACAGTGTGTTGATAACTGTAGCCGACTTGTAATATATTTATGAGTGAAATACGAGCCTAATGACAGACATTATAACCTATCGTGATGGAAATATTTGAATTCCATAAACCTTGTAGGGAGTTCCAAAATCTATAATTTATGGCAAGCGAAATTCATGTGAAATTCATTGAGGATGACGCATTAAGAACATCGATTTTCGTTATAAGTGCCGGGGATCGAAGGAAAACATCTTTAATAACTCCCTTTAGGAATGTTAGGTCTCGATTTTGTCAGTTTTCGGCTCTACAAGGAAATCACCGTGAAAACAAACTCTGAACCTTAATTATCAAATATGTCTTCTAAAATGGTTATAGTCTGTCGCTAGACATAGTTCTGTACTGTTCCTATTAATATATTAGTAATACAGTCTGTACTTACTGTTAGTATAAATAGACTTGTACTGTCGTGTTCAATTAACAATAGCATCATCATCATCATCATCATCATCATCATCATCATCAATACAGCCATTGCCACAAGTTAACTGATGGTCACGTACATATTCCCAGAGCAACATATTGATTAAAGTACCGGTGTTCTCAAGTCGCCGTGTTTGTGAAAAGTATTAAACAGGCCGTCGTGATATATCTTGAATACTGCTGATTTCGGCATAAAACAACGTTCACTGAAAGTCCGCGGTTTTAGCATTTAGAGAGTGTGGGTTCTTGTATACAATCGTGTTATTCCCCTTGGTTTAAAAGAGCCAATCACGCCTCTTTTCTCACATGAATGTGACAATAAGGCCGGCGGTCATGGGGGTAACCTGTTGTAAAGGTATTTTCACGGCACTCCGAAGGCCTGGATCCGATTCCCCACATGGATAACTGTGCCATGAACATATCTGAATATTGCTAAAAGCTGTGTAGAACCCGTCTTACTCACTATTCAGCTGATACATCTCAAGCACTACGGTCCCCTTACTTCCATGTAACCAATAAACAACCTGAGTCTACCTTCCACACACTGAGGTGGGGTAGCCTAGCGGTTAAACGTTCGATCGTCACGCCGTTGACCCGGGTTCAATCCCCCACATCGGTACGATTTGTGAAACTCAATTCTGTGTCCCTCTTGATCTTGCGGGAATATTGCTAAAAGCGGCGTAAAACCTTACTCACTCATTCACTCACTTCCTCTCTTTCTCTCACACACAAGAAAACAAAAACAAAACAAAAAACACAGTGGTTATCCGTTGACGAACTTCGCCAGTCAATAATTGGACGTTCATTAAGCCATTATCACCATCATCATCGGGTGGTGGGGTATCCTAGTGGTTAAAGCGTTGGCTCGTCACGCCGAAGACCCGGGTACGATTCCCCATATGGGTACAATGTGTGAAGCCCATTTCTGGTGTCCCCTGCAGTGATATTGCTGGAATATTGCTAAAAGTGCTGTAAAACTAAAGTCACCCATCACCATCAGCCATCATCACTGTCGTCATCAATAGCCAACATCATCACTATCGTCATCATTAGCCAACATCATCACTATCGTCATCATTAGCCAACATCATCACTATCGTGATCATTAGCAAACATCATCATTATCGTCATCATTAGCAAACATCATCATTATCGTGATCATTAGCCAACATCATCACTATCGTCATCATTAGCCAACATCATCACTATCATCATCATTAGCCAACATCATCACTATCGTCATCATTAGCCAACATCATCACTATCGTCATCATTAGCCAACATCATCACTATCGTCATCATTAGCCAACATCATCACTATCATCATCATTAGACAACATCATCACTATCGTCATCATTAGCCAACATCATCACTATCATCATCATTAGCCAACATCATCACTATCGTCATCATTAGCCAACATCATCACTATCGTGATCATTAGCCATCATCATCACTATCGTCACATCATCATCACTATCGTCATCATTAGCCAACATCATCACTATCATCATCATTAGCCAACATCATCATTATCGTCATCATTAGCCAACATCATCACTATCGTCATCATTAGCCAACATCATCACTATCATCATCATTAGCCAACATCATCACTATCGTCATCATTAGTTTCATGACATTCATTCTCATGCTAGTACTAACTTTTTCCAGTTTTTACCAAACCGTTCCTCTCCATGCAAACCCCTATGACCGCCGGTACGAGTTACACCCTCAGCTGTAGCTCCATCGCCAACGGCGCCCAGATAACGTATGTCTGGCAGAGAGGGGACGAGTTAAGTCCCTTCACCACAAGCACGTCCTGCACCATCATCACCACGTCAGCTCAAGGTATCGTATCTTACGAGTGTGTCAGTGCCTACCAGCTGACCGCCAGGAGGGAGGATAACGGCGTCAATATCACCTGCACGGCATCCTTGCCTACGGGGAGAACAAACAGTGATACAGGCACCTTCTACATTCAGAGTACGTATGCTGTCCGTCATTGTGTTCCTCCGTACGTATTCACAGCTTACGTCATCCTTCCGTTTGATGTCACGCAAACCTATCGATGTGCACAGTTACCTCCCTTTTGTTCCTCAGTCGCCCCAGGTTAATCCCGGATTATGACAAGTAGTTTTTATTGTTTTTTAAGCATCATGTCTGTAGCTTTACCTAACTTCGCCCTATATGAAGTCATGTCATTATATAATCGGAACTTCCAAGTTACTATGGTTACTATAGCGTCTCAGTTCCGGTTTTCATGTCACAGGGTAGTCCCAAATTGGACCCTTACGTTGTGGCTGATTACGTGTAATCGTATGTTTGTAACATTTACGACGCACTGAAAACACCGAAGATTCCGTACAATTTCGGTTTTCAGCAACAAAACACATTTAAAAAAATTATTACATTAAAAAATAACAACAACGTTGTGAGTGATATATAACTGAGGTATTCTGATGAGAATATACATACCCTGTTGAAATTAAATTATATCATTCAATGTCTAGTATTGCAATAGAATGAATGCATGAATGAATAACTTTTTATATTTTTATAGTCATGGTTATTTTTTAAATCTTATTTCCACTCCTGTTATACATATTTCTCCAAACAATGATACATTGTCAAAAAGGTATACACGGTATAAAAGGTATACACGGTATAAAAGGTATACACGGTATAAAAGGTATGAATATATAACTGGCTCCGTAGAGTGTGTGAAGCCCATCTCTTGTCAACCGCCCTGCTTCAGCTACAATATTGCTTTCAATGGCAACAAAGCCATATTTACTCACTCACTCTGCTTGATGAATAGGTTGAATAAAACCCCACACTCCTCACATTCCTCCCTGATTGCCTGTCCAATCACCGTGTCGTCAGTTTCTGGTTGTCATGACTACAAGGCCACACCTACTGGATGGTGCCAATCAGGAGCACGGTGCGACAGGAAGCGTGGATACGTATCGAACGTAGATGATGGATAGAGACCACTATCGATATTATTGATCCACTATCGATATTATTGATCCACATAGAAGCGTATTGCTCAACATCGAACAGAACTGGTCAACATCGAACGGCCTTAATCAACATGGATTAGCATTGATCAATGATTCAATATTGAATAGCATTGATCAACATCGAACAACATTGATCAACATCGATGCATGCCTAGGTATAAGACGTAGCCATTTCTGAAACTGACATTGGCTCAGATAGAGATAACAGATACAATCGGATAGATATGTATAGATAGATTTACGATTGATAAATGCACATATAGATAGCTGGTAGACGCACACAGAAACATATGAATAGATGCCATGCTAGATAGCATATGGATTGCATTGAATGATCACAGATAGAAACCGATAGACGCACGTATAATCTATAGAGAGATGAATTTCTTTTGCATATTTGTTCTTGCAGCTACCGTCTCTGAGTAAAACGAGGACCCAATTTCGACATGTTAGTTTCTTTCACAGCTACACAGGAAAGATGTTATCATTTGTATTGGCAATATTTTGATATTTAGGATATTTAGGTACATTAACGCATTCAGTGGCAAGGCTGGAGAAGACCCTACCATCACCTTGTAGTCGTGTAAAAGCTACAACACTGGATCGGGTTATCATCGGATCCTGGCGGTTCTGTCTGGCGTGGTAGAGTAGCAATCGCACGTCACGCCGAGGATCCGGGTTTCATTTCCAACATGGGTCTCATGTTAAAATCCCATTTCTGATGTTTCTCGCCGTGATATTGCTCGAATATTGCTAAAAGCGGCGTAAAACTAAAGTCACTCACTCCCTAGCTGACCCGTGAAGATCCGGGTTAGAACTGATATTCATTAACCCACGCTTGTCGTAAAAGGCGACTAACGGGATCGGGTGGTCAGACTCGCTGACTTGTTTGACACGTGTCATCGTATCCCAATTGCGTAGATCGATGCTCATGGTGTTGATCACTGGATTGTCTGGTCCAGACTTATGTAGATTATTTACAGACCGCCGCCATATAGCTGGAATATTGCTGAGTGCGGCGTAAATCTAAACTCACTCACTCACTCCCTAACTATCGTTTCTTCGCGCCGCCGTGATGTGGCTTGACCAGCCTGGACTATTGCTGACCGCGGCGTAGAACCACAAACCTTATGTAGACTATGACTGTCTGTATTGTACTGTATTAATACTATGATCATTAGGATCAATAATCATGATTATGAATTTATCATCACTATCACTGCAGTTCCCCCGCCTAGTCAGTACCCGGAGATTATCGGGGCCGACACCATCAACGAGGGCCAAAACGTCACGTACTTGTGCGTGGCTGACGGTGCAGTCCCTCAAGCCACGCTGAGGTGGCGAGTTCGCTCTGTACTAACGGACGGATACAGCCCTCCAGCCACCGTCAACGGTGACGGCACCTTCAGGACCGTGAACTACCTCTACCGCCTCTTCACCGCCGCCGACGATGGCATTCGGCTCGACTGCGACATGTCCCATCCAGCAACGAGTGGGAGAAGGGTCACAAAAACCGTCACAGTTCAATGTGAGTAGGTCGGAATGGATGAACGGATGATTTAAAGTGTAACTGGTACTTGAAGCAAAAAGCTGATTGTGCCAAATATAAAACATACTGATCTTTAGAGGGAGCATCGTCTGTGTACCTGTATACCATTATATCCTAACAGTCTATACATACACGACATGTGCATTTATCTTACCTTCATGTAAAATACTTTAATTTCATTGGTCAATGACGCTTTAACAAGTTTCCGTGTCATCCCATCCAGAAGGGTGACAACTGGAAAAAATATTACCCGCTGGCACGGCAACCGCCAAATTCGTATCCATTTTAATGTACCGGACATGTTATAAGATACTACTCTATGCATTTACTTGTAAAGTTAACACTCTGCTGATATCTGTATTAACTAACAGTCACATAGTGAGTGAGTGAGTGAGTGTTTTGGTTTTAACGCCGCTTTAATCAGTTGTCCCGTTATGTCCTGTAACATTGAGGTGCGAGGTTTGCCGTGTAAGTTTAAACCACCGTTTTAAAACTGAGATTGTAATGTCAAACGCACAAGGAACTTATTCTGATCCGTGCAAGGGACGCAACTCGTTCAATATTACAAAGAACTCATCATCATATCGTGTGTTTTAGATAAGCCGACCGTTTCCTCCAGCCCATCCACGTACACGTTGACAGAGGGGGTTACTGGCAATCTGCACTGCTCTTATGCATCCATGCCATCTCCGACCACTGTCCGATGGGTGAAGGACAACCAAGTACTAGACAGGTCATCAGGGCGGTTCCTCAATGGCGATACTCCGACCTCACCCACTCTGATTATCAACAACCCCCAGGCAGAGGACGCGGGGACGTACGTCTGCATCGTCTCAAACGTTGTGGGTGAAGGATCTGGTCCTAGCGTCACCGTCGTCGTCCGATGTGAGTAAAGGTGATGGAGTTGTAGTGTGTGTGTATAATGGGTGTGGCTTTGTGTGTGGAATGTGTGTGGCTTTGTGTGGGTGTGGGTGTGGGTGTGGGTGTGGGTGTGATAGGTTTGCCTGGGCAGCGTTTCCTGGGTGAAGTCTCATTCGCTGTCAGGCACTAGGCTGATGACGAGCCTAAACTGTGCCAGGATCACCCGAGCCCCCTTTGCTGCTTTTTGTTTTAATCTCTAAAACATAATGATGTTTTATTTTTCCCAGATAAACCAAAGTCACAATTCCAAACGCGTCGTATGGTGCTGACATCAGCGAGTCTCTCACCATTCCATGCATCATCGACGCTGATCCCACGGTAACGTCAGTGACGTGGTACAGGACTGTTTCCGGCTCGACTCTACCGGTCACCATTTCGGGATCGAAGTACGGGGGAGGAACTGTTGCAACCCCCGCGATGACGATATTTAACCTCTTGCCGTCTGACGCAGGATCGTATCAGTGCGAGGCTGGGAATGGTCTAGGAACCACTCCGAGTAATGCGGTGTCTGTTTCCATAAGTTGTAAGTTGTATAGAAAGGTACCCGGTAGATGTTGATTTGAATAATGATAATAGATGGCTCTAATTAGGCAGCGCTTCCTGGGTGAAGTCCCATTCGCTGGCTGGGCTGCGTGCAGAGGAGCAAGGGCCCTGAGCTGATGATGAGCCTTACCAGCCTGACTGGGCCAGGATCACCCCAACCCTCTTGCTGTGTTCATATATCAAACTCTGTCAAATAAGATCTGTTCATGAGTGTACTCGATAACATATATACGTCCCCTTCTCCGACTAAAGCACCCTGGCAATGCACTCGTAGGGATTCACCGATCTTCAGAGGGAATTCGTGGATTGGGTGGTCAGGCTTGTTGGAGTGCAGGTCACCTGAACCCTCCAGAGTAGATCGTTGTTCGCTATATAAATTATCAAACTGTCTGATGTAGATCCATTTGTCATAGGCTGTGGTAGGGTAGCCCAGTGGTTAAGGCGTTCGATCGTCCCGCCGAAGACCCGGGTTCGATTCCCACATGGGTTCAATGTGTGAAGCCCATTCCTGGTGTCCCCCGCCGTGATATTGCTGTAATATGGTTAAAAGCAGCGTAGAACTAAACTCACTCACTCACTCACAGGCTGTTGTCACATAACAGTAAGACAAGTGAGTGAGTTAAGATTTAAAGTCACATCGGCAATATTTCAGCCATATCGTGACCAGTAAGATAAGACATACCTCGGTGCTTATTATTTTATGGCATAATATTGCTGAACAAATCCTCCACGAGGACAGCTATACTTGCTTTGTGCAAGGTGTCACCAGGGGGCGTCGTCGGGTGACTTCAGGGACAGGGGCACGTGTTGTATGTGTAAGAAAGTTTAACATTGATATATCATGGCCTGATCATGTATTATATGACGTTTGTATTCATACATATGCTATACTCGCTCAGATGCTCCCACCAATATCCGTGCTGTCCCAAACGCCTTCGAGGTTGATGCTGGTGGAGACGTCCTGGTGACGTGCATTGCAGACGCCGTGCCGTCCCCAACCTACGCGTGGTTTTTCGAAACGGACAGCACCAACCCTGTCTCCAGCAGCTCCGCCCTCAACATCACAGCGTCGACGCCGTTTGACAACGGCAGGTACACCTGCAAGGCGACGAACGAAAAGGGACAGGCCTCCGTCATTGTCGGCATTAGCGTCAGATGTGAGTTCCTATTTACCGAATGTATGAGTGTGTTGGGTTTTAGGCCGTTTTGAACTGTATTTAGTTTTATCACGGCCTCCGGGCGGGTCTCGGACGTTTACCACCTTGATTAAGACCATGAAGAGACAAACCTAGCCACATGACCTTGACTTTCTTAAACACCCAAGGGACGCAACTTTGCACACCAAAAGGCAACCCGTGCCCGCTGACCTTATGTAAGGCCGTTTTCTGATTCGACATTCACGTGAAGGAGTTTAACAGTATACACAAATCGTAAGGTAAGGTCTCCTGGATTCAAATACTTAAGTGCTTATTGATGTATAAGCACTTAAGTACTTATGTGCTTATTTATTTACCTGGGAGCGATGGGGTAAAGCGTGCGCTCGTCACGCCGAAGACACGGGTCCCACTCCCCACATGGGTACAATGTGTGAAGCCCATTTCTGGCGTCGTCCGCCGTGATTTTGCTAGAATATTGCTTGAAACGGCGTAAAACTAAACTCACCCACTCAGTGATTTACCAGCGTCCTGTCATTATTTAGCACCACTCCTTATAGAGGAACATTACCCCGAGTAAAGAGGTCTTATTTTATCGCAGTTCCTCCAATCATCAACACAAGTTCCTCCCCTCAAGATATTGATGAAGGGTCTTCAGTGACTCTTCTGTGCTCAGTGTACGCCAACCCAATCCCCTTCGGGGTTACGTGGTTTAAGAACTCCCAGTTCCTCAACCGGACTAACCCAGGTTACTCCGGGGGAAACAGTGTTGCCTCACCTCACCTCACCATCGCCAACATCCAGAAGAACGACGCGGGAAGCTACTACTGTGAGGTTCCCAATCAGATGGGACGGACCCGCAGCAAAAGCGTCATCGTTCGTGTTGTCTGTAAGTATCCAAATACCTAGGTATACTGATGGTAATAAATAAAGAACATAGCTATGTAATATAGTTATGTGTAAGTAGAACATCCGATACCGACCAATCATTCTATACGTTGCTTTATTTGTTGCCATCAGTATATTCAAGTAATCAGGTTGTTGTCAGAGAAGCTCAGTGCACGACAACACGGGCATTAGTTAAGGGTTGATTCACAGACAGAATTACTCCAGGGTTGATTCACAGACTGAATTATTCCAGGGTTGTTTCACAGACTGAATTACTCCAGGGTTGATTCACAGACTGAATTATTCCAGGGTTGATTCACAGACTGAATTATTCCAAGGTTGATTTACAGACTGAATTATTCCAGGGTTGATTTACAGTTTGAATTATTCCAGGTTTGATTCACAGACTTAATTATTCCGGGGTTGATTCACAGACTAAATTATTCCGGGGTTGATTCACAGATTGAATTATTCCAGGGTTGATTCACAGACTGAATTACTCCAGGGTTGATTCACAGACTGAATTATTCCAGGGTTGATTCACAGACTGAATTATTCCAGGGTTGATTCACAGACTGAATTACTCCAGGGTTGATTCACAGACTGAATTATTCCAGGGTTGTTTCACAGACTGAATTACTCCAGGGTTGATTCACAGACTGAATTATTCCAGGGTTGATTCACAGACTGAATTATTCCAAGGTTGATTTACAGACTGAATTATTCCAGGGTTGATTTACAGACTGAATTATTCCAGGTTTGATTCACAGACTGAATTATTCCAGGGTTGATTCACAGACTAAATTATTCCGGGGTTGATTCACAGACTGAATTATTCCAGGGTTGATTCACAGACTGAATTATTCCAGGGTTGATTCACAGACTGAATTATTCCAGGGTTGATTCACAGACTGAATTATTCCAGGGTTGATTCACAGATTGAATTACTCCAGGGTTGATTCACAGACTGAATTATTCCAGGGTTGATTCACAGACTGAATTACTCCAGGGTTGATTCACAGACTGAATTATTCCAGGGTTGATTCACAGACTGAATTATTCCAGGGTTGATTCACAGACTGAATTACTCCAGGGTTGATTCACAGACTGAATTATTCCAGGGTTGTTTCACAGACTGAATTACTCCAGGGTTGATTCACAGACTGAATTATTCCAGGGTTGATTCACAGACTGAATTATTCCAAGGTTGATTTACAGACTGAATTATTCCAGGGTTGATTTACAGACTGAATTATTCCAGGTTTGATTCACAGACTGAATTATTCCAGGGTTGATTCACAGACTAAATTATTCCGGGGTTGATTCACAGACTGAATTATTCCAGGGTTGATTCACAGACTGAATTATTCCAGGGTTGATTCACAGACTGAATTATTCCAGGGTTGATTCACAGACTGAATTATTCCAGGGTTGATTCACAGATTGAATTACTCCAGGGTTGATTCACAGACTGAATTATTCCAGGGTTGATTCACAGACTGAATTATTCCAGGGTTGATTCACAGACTGAATTATTCCAGGGTTGAATCACAGAGTGAATTACTCCAGGGTTGATTCACAGACTTAATTATTCCAAGGTTGATTTACAGACTGAATTATTCCAGGGTTGATTTACAGACTGAATTATTCCAGGTTCGATTCACAGACTGAATTATTCCGGGGTTGATTCACAGACTAAATTATTCCGGGGTTGATTCACAGACTGAATTATTCCAGGGTTGATTTACAGACTGAATTATTCCAGGGTTGATTCACAGACTGAATTACTCCAGGGTTGATTCACAGACTGAATTATTCCAGGGTTGATTCACAGATTGAATTACTCCAGGGTTGATTCACAGACTGAATTATTCCAGGGTTGATTCACAGACTGAATTATTCCAGGGTTGATTCACAGACTGAATTATTCCAGGGTTGATTCACAGACTGAATTACTCCAGGGTTGATTCACAGACTGAATTATTCCAGGGTTGTTTCACAGACTGAATTACTCCAGGGTTGATTCACAGACTGAATTATTCCAGGGTTGATTCACAGACTGAATTATTCCAAGGTTGATTTACAGACTGAATTATTCCAGGGTTGATTTACAGACTGAATTATTCCAGGTTTGATTCACAGACTGAATTATTCCGGGGTTGATTCACAGACTAAATTATTCCGGGGTTGATTCACAGACTGAATTATTCCAGGGTTGATTCACAGACTGAATTATTCCAGGGTTGATTCACAGACTGAATTACTCCAGGGTTGATTCACAGACTGAATTATTCCAGGGTTGATTCACAGATTGAATTACTCCAGGGTTGATTCACAGACTGAATTATTCCAGGGTTGATTCACAGACTGAATTATTCCAGGGTTGATTCACAGACTGAATTATTCCAGGGTTGATTCACAGAGTGAATTATTCCGGGGTTGATTCACAGACTGAATTATTCCAGGGTTGATTCACAGACTGAATTATTCCAGGGTTGATTCACAGACTTAATTATTCCAGGGTTGAATCACAGAGTGAATTACTCCAGGGTTGATTCACAGACTTAATTATTCCAGGGTTGATTCACAGACTGAATTATTCCAGGGTTGATTCACAGACTGAATTACTCCAGGGTTGATTCACAGACTGAATTATTCCAGGGTTGAATCACAGACTGAATTACTCCAGTATGCACCCACAGTATGCTGTATGTGGGACTGGAGGGCCGTGGTGTAAGCGAAAATGGAATTAGTCGTCATGGCAAATCGTTGTTACATGTGTAACCGGCTTTGCATGCTTGTCAACGAAATAGTCATCAGCTGCAAGCCATGTCCCAGTAAACCATGACGGGTTCTATCGACATTCAGACATTTACACTCTCCACTGGCCGGTCAGCGATGTCAACAGGGTTTATTTTCCGTCATCAAAATGTATAATGATTGCCACATTCAGTAAGATAATCCAGGGAGCTGACCCGGTTTGACTCAAGTATTAGTTGTTGAGAACAAATGACCAACATTTAAATTGCCTTGTTAACGGTATAACAGTCTGTATCACCCTGTGTAAATTCCGTGGTAGAAAGGGCACACGTGTCACCATGGACACCTTACACGTTGATTGGGTGGTCAATACATGGACATCTCTCCTTTATCCATCGTATCCGTGAGGACTTGTCGATGGTTGTGTTACCACTCACTAGTCAATTGGATTATTTGAAAACTCTTGTTTGATGGATTGTTGAGTTCCTACACTTTGCCTACATTCATCCTCTACTGTGCCTACATTGATCCTACATTGTGCCTACACTGATCCGATATTGTGCCTACATTGGTCCTCTACTGTGCCTACATTGGTCCTCTACTGTGCATACATTGATCATATATTGTGAATACGTTGATCCTCTACTGTGCCTACATTGGTCCCATACTGTGCCTACATTGGTCCTTTACTGTGCCTACATTGGTCCTGTCCTGTGCCTACATTGGTCCTGTACCGTGTCTACATTGGTTTTTCTACTGTGTCTACTTTGGTCCTGTACTGTGCCTACATTGGTCCTCTACTGTGCCTACATTGATCCTTTACTGTGCCTACATTGGTCCTGTACTGTGCCTACACTCGTCCTGTACTGTGAATACATTGGTCCTATATTGTGCTTACATTGATCCTCTACTGTGCCTACATTAATCCTATACTGTGCCTACATATATGTACATTTGATTAAAGGGGTCCACCATAAATTTGCTTCCAGATCCTCCCTCGAGTATTGCTATCACTCCAAGTGGCGCGCAAACCCTCAACGAAGGTGACAGCCTCACCCTCATCTGCCTCGTGAACGCTGTACCGATGCCCAACTACGAATGGAGAACAGGAAATGAAGTTATAACCTCCGCTCCAATCCTCGTTATCAATTCAGCTAGACCGGACGACAACCGGGACGTGACGTGTGTGGGCTCCAACTCCAAGGGGAACATCACCGAGACGGTCCGGGTCAACGTGGAATGTAATACCTAAGTCTATCATGCCATCGTCCAGTTACCATGTTATTGTCAAGAGGAAACAGGAAACTAATATCAAATATCGTCAGAAAAATACAGGGTCACAGATTGATGGATGTATACTGACACTAACAGTATGACAGGTTCATGGTATACTGACACTAACAGCATGACAGGTTCATTGTATTCTGACACTAACAGTATGGCAGCTTCACGGTATACTGACACTAACAGCATGACAGGTTCACAGTATACTGACACTAACAGTATGCCAGGTTCACGGTATACTGACGCTAACAGCATGACAGGTTCATGGTATACTGACGCTAACAGTATGACAGGTTCATGGTATACTGACACTAACAGCATGACAGGTTCACAGTATACTGACACTAACAGTATGACAGGTTCACGGTGTAATTACACTAACAGCATGACAGGTTCACGGTATACTGACACTAACAGCATGACAGGTTCATGGTATACTGACACTAACAGTATGACAGGTTCATGGTATACTGACACTAACAGTATGACAGGTTCACGGTATACTGACACTAACAGTATGACAGGTTCACGGTGTAATTACACTAACAGCATGACAGGTTCACGGTATACTGACACTAACAGCATGACAGGTTCATGGTATACTGACACTAACAGTATGACAGGTTCATGGTATACTGACACTAACAGTATGACAGGTTCACGGTATACTGACACTAACAGTATGACAGGTTCACGGTATACTGACACTAACAGTATGACAGGTTCATGGTATACTGACACTAACAGTATGACAGGTTCACGGTATACTGACACTTACAGCATGACAGGTTCATGGTATACTGACACTAACAGTATGACAGGTTCACGGTATACTAACACTAACAGTATGACAGGTTCACGGTATACTTACACTAACAGTATGACAGGTTCACGGTATACTGACACTAACAGTATGACAGGTTCACGGTATATTAACACTAACAGTATGACAGGTTCACGGTGTAATTACACTAACAGCATGACAGGTTCACGGTATACTGACACTAACAGCATGACAGGTTCATGGTATACTGACACTAACAGCATGACAGGTTCATGGTATACTGACACTAACAGTATGACAGGTTCACGGTATACTGACACTAACAGTATGACAGGTTCACGGTATACTAACACTAACAGTATGACAGGTTCATGGTATACTGACACTAACAGTATGACAGGTTCACGGTATACTGACACTTACAGCATGACAGGTTCATGGTATACTGACACTAACAGTATGACAGGTTCACGGTATACTAACACTAACAGTATGACAGGTTCACGGTATACTAACACTAACAGTATGACAGGTTCACGGTATACTAACACTAACAGTATGACAGGTTCACGGTATACTAACACTAACAGTATGACAGGTTCATGGTATATAGACACTAACGGCATGACAAATGTTCTGCCGACATTCACAGCTTGTGATTATAACTATCAACGAAGTATATTGTTGGATTTCCGTTGACGCTAACACCCATACAATGGTCACGTTCTCTTGCAGATATACATCGACTTTATATCTGAGATAATCGCTTTGAGAAACCAATTGCTCACAGCTTCCATACAGTTTCAGTTAACGTATACACAATGTCTGCTTGCATCAAAAACATAGAGGGGCGGTGGGGTAGCCTAGTGGTTAAAGCGTTGGCTCGTCACGCCGAAGACCCGGGGTTCGAATCCCCACATGGGTACATTGTGTGAAGCCCATTTCTGGTGTCCCCCGCTGTGATGTTGCTGGAATATTGCTAAAAGCGTCGTAAAACCAAACTCAGTCAGTCAAAAACATAGATTCACAATGTCGAAATTGTTTATACCTTGTAATATCATCTCATGATCGTAAGAATGTGTGTTGTCGGTGTGAGGAGTGTAGCATGCCATGTTACACCACCAGGCTCTAATGTTCTCACTATAACTATATAGACGCCCCGCGAGTAACGATACCTGGCGGTGATGCATTCGGCGCTGACGAAGGCAACGCTCTCAGCATCCCCTGCGTCGTGGACGCCAACCCAGCAGTAAACACATTTCAATGGCTGAAAGATTCCGCCGTCCTTGACCTTTCGGACACCAGCAAGTATAGCGGCGGGACAAGCGCCTCCACCGGTCTTACGATACTAGCGTTGTCGTCTGCTGATGCCGGGAACTACAGCTGCAGTGCTGGTAACCCAAGAGGTCAGGCCACGAGCAGGGATGTGTTAGTGACGATCAGCTGTAAGTTTCATTGTACTGGATGTTCTAGTCGTCCGTTGCACGGTTTTGGTGTTTGCTTCTTGGAACCCACGAACCAACTTTTCTGACGGCGGCTGGCTGTTATTTACACCCTATTGCATGTTTGCACGTGTTCTCGTTGACATCTCTTGCATGACGTCACCTGCACTCACATTTTCACTTTTGCACGGTTCCTATGGCTACGTGACGCCATGTTTTCACGTTTTTGTACCACGAACATTAACTGTGGATTGGTATTTTGTTTCTATATATATGCATGCTCTTCTTTTCTTTTTGCTTTTTATTACATCAGTTTGCAGTTTCATGAGGCTCGTGTTCGTTGTCTTTCCCAAGCAGAACGTACCAGTCTGATCTGCATATTACTTCCTCTTTCCTTCCTTGATCGTCCCAATGTTCGTTGAAAACTCAGAATATCCTTCACTGTTCGCTTGCTTCAGAACTTCGTCATGGTTTTGTATGCTTCAGGTTTCTTATTAGTATTTTGTTGGCGTAAATTTGCGTCTTATTCTTTCTTCCTGCTGTTGAGTTTGTTGTTGTACGAAGGTCGCAAACAAGCAGATCGTACCAGTCTTATCTGCATATTATTTCCGTTTACCGTCCTTGATTTGTTGTCCCTGATTTCGTTCTTTCATTGTTCGGTTGCTTCTGTTTCTTAATTTGGCAGAACCCTGCCATCTATGACACATGCTGTGTATACACTGTACAAAGCAATGGTGTGTGCACTGTGTGTCTGTGTGGTGGGTGCTGAAGTTCACTTTTAAATATAACCGGTGTAGATTGCGTACTGAATACATTTTAAAATGAGTCTCTATGTTCTAAACATAATCCACGAGCAACGGTTCCCATAACAACATATTATTAATTTATGGTACTTGCAATGCAGGGTCCCGATCCGCAAAGCATTCGTAACGTTACGACCTATCGTAACTCTGTACTATATCAATGGCTAACGAATGACGTAGTGCTACGAATGCTTTGTGGATCGGGACCCTGCTTATTGTAATGTTCGTATGAATCTTGTTTTAACTTGCACGGTCTATATCAGACAATAAGTCGATCCTTCCATTATCCGAGTCGTTAAGCCATTTGATTTTAAAAACTTACCAGACCAGCCAGAGAACGTCACAGTGAGCCAAACGTCTGTGACAGTAGTCGAGAACGAGGCTATATTGGTCACGTGCTCAGGAAACGCCGTACCCTCTCCTAGTTTTAACTGGCTGAGAGGAGGAGTGGAATACCAAGATGGCGTCTACCTTAACATCACTTCCGCAACACCAGAGGATTCTGGGACATACACGTGCAAAGTTAATAACACGAAGGGAACGGCCGAGGTTTCAATACTCGTGGATGTTCAATGTAAGTATTACAATCAATAGATGCAGTGATAAGGATTTGATCTTGACAATGACTTGATATCACAGCTAACATAAATTATATATGATTATTCAGATTTACTATAAAATATTTGAATGATATACAGTGAAATGCTAGACAGTGGAAACACGTCCTTAGATTTCCAGAATAATTATTTAATTAACTATTTAAAGTTTATATATCCCTTACAAGTTTTGATTGAACGAAGCAAAACCTCAGTGATATTTCCTTCTGCTACTACTTTCCCAACGCCAAACATCCAGAACTGTTCCCAACGTCTGGAGATTGATGTGCCACTATATTGATTGAGTATTGGTATGCGTTTCAACCAGTACTCAAAATGAGTTTAAACAGTGAACATAGACATACCAACTTACTGACTTCTCTAGTCATGATGACATACCTTCTTGGTTGAATTAAACATTGTCTATACGGCGACAGTGAAGGATTACCCAGCAAATAGAAAATGAAGTATATTTACAGTTGTGGGTCACATCTGTCTTTCAGATTTTCCTCGCGTGTCTTCCCCGGATGAACCGCTGATTGCTGATACCGGCGATACCGTCACCATACCTTGCACGATCGACGCCAACCCAAACGTGACGGCAGTGACCTGGAACATGCTGAACGGCTCCTCCCAGCAACCTGTAGACATGTCAGACAGCAGGTACACAGGCAGCACACCTGGCAGTCCATCTATGTCAATTGACAGTCTGACGCCAGAAGACGCGGGGCGCTATCAGTGCAATTGTGAAAACGCCATTGGAACCGGAAGTGGGTCGTATGTTACACTGACGATCACGTGTAAGTAGTGCTGTGTTGTGTGCCGTGGTCAGTGTTGTATCTCCCTATCCCGTTGTGTTTTGAGTTCATTCCGTGTGGTTTAACACATTCCTTGCGTGACCATAACACAATAATTTTGTTTTGTTTCATTTTTTAATATTTAAAAAAAAATAAAATACTTTTTATGCTGTTGAGTTTTGTTGTGATTTTTGTTATGCACCTTTAACAAATATGTCTGCTTTAACCCCGATTTTGTTTACTCCCCAATGCCTCTGACTGACTACCCTGGAGTATTGTACAGAACGGTGGTGTCAGGGAGGGAGTGTTGGTTAGATTCAAGTCCGTGATCCAGTCGGTGATTCGTGATCACTTTCTTCATTCGTGATCAGCTCTTCTTCACAAATTACGATAAAACCCGATGATAATCCTGAAATACTACACCGAGCTATAAAAAAACGTATTTCCCTTACTCTCCTGGCAAGACATGTTTATAGCTACAACATTAGCTATATACCCATGATATATACTATTCACGACCGTGTTATCGTCTACATGGTCTGTGGTCCTTCTCATGTACATTGGATATCCCGCTAGGAAGTGTACGTTGTTTAACCAATACCGTTCATGACGGCGTGTTCTGACGAGGTCACCTACCACGGTGGGTGCTGCTAACGAAACCGTTACAATTTCTGCCATGGTTCTGCACCTGTTCTTCTGCACTGTTTCTTTGCATCCTGTTTGTATTCCCCCTCATGGTTGTGGTCTTCTAACGTTTAATCCCACTGTTTATACATATGCGTCTTACGGTGTACATATATCATTTTGAGAAGGTCATAATTTTTCGAATACTCATCATAAACGAGGTTAATATGGTTTTAATCTTGTTGCTTCGTGTGTTGTCATTCTTGATCACAGATAAATCACAGGCTGTTCCTTTAATTGTCTTCATTTTGTTTCACACCTTTCTATCAACATTCACAAGTTAACGATGACAATGCAGCTATATAACTGGTTCTGAAATGTAAACTGAATTCTTTGTTATCGTGTCATGTTCAATGCTTTGCCCCCAGTTGTTCCAAAGGAAGTCTCACTGACACCATCTAAGGTCAATGTCACTGAAGGGGAGACAATTTCAGTCACATGCTCCTCTAGCGCAGCGCCCTCTGCCACCTACGTCTGGTTGCGTAATGGAGATTTCTATCAAAATGGCGCCACGTTGTCCATATCGTCCGCCTCGACTGAAGACAATGCCACTTTCATGTGTCAGGCAACCAACGTGAAGGGCACGACCAGTTCTAGCATTGACATTAATGTATCATGTAAGTATTGAAGAGGGGGACGTGGTGCTAGTAATATCTAGGTTAAACGATTTGATGTGCTGTATAAATTAACTCGCCTCAGACAATTATCATACTGGTAGCAGTATTGAATCATACTGTTATTATAGCCTACAGCGCTAAAGTAAACCCATGTATGTTACGATGTGTGTTACGATGTGTGTTCGGTTTGGTCAAGCAATGACATGGAAGCCGTGTGAAGTCAGTGAGCATTACTCCCTCCCGGCATGGTTGGGTCATTACTCCCTCCCGGCATGGTAGGGTCACTAGTATTTCTGATATTGACAATGAGTAGGGCACGTCAGCACATGATCGAGAAATAACGCTGATGTAATTTGACGGTTCATTGGCCTGATGTACTGCTGGCTTCCCTCCCCCTGAAACCAGGCCGTAAAGGTAGTGACTGTGATGCAAATCTACACTGTGTATTCATGGATAATGCAGGGGAGTAATGAATAAGGTCATGTGAGTATTCAGAACTATGTAGTTCAAGAATAGCCGACGCAATCTGGTCTCTTTTTGCCGCTCACTAGAAATGTGTGATTGCAGTATCAACCTCTGCCATCATGCCGTACAAGCATAAGCACACACAGAAGATACCCTCACAGCACACACACAGAAGACATACCCTCACAGACACACACATACAGAATGACACACAAACACAGATACAGACACACGCACTAATATAATTTGATATTTTCCACATTAAAGTAGATATATTCGCTGTTATTGTGCAGATAGCATCCATCACTGTGTTACACGTATGCTGCTGACGTCATGTCAAACTTCCATTTTCATCTGTGCTAAGCTAAGAAACTAGAAAATAGCTTGTCAAAAGTAAATATGGCCTGAAATTACTTTGACTTTAATGCTATTTCAAATTGTTTTCATATGTAATGTTGACAGATCGCCCTCGTGGTATCTTAAAGAACTCCATCGTCACAACAACGATTGGCAATAGCGCGACCTTGACCTGCCAGACCAGGGCCAACCCGCCCACATCGTCGTACACGTGGTCGTTTGGTAGCACGCAGCTAGCGGAGACTGGAGCCAGTTTGAAAATCACACCGACGACGGTGGACGATTTTGGTCAGTACACCTGTGTCGCTAGAAACACCATTGGATCGTCCGAACCCATCAACTTGGACTTGCAGCAAGAAACAACGCCGAGTCCACCAAGTAAGTTACAGGTTTAAATGGATATCAGTGGTTTAAATGGATATCAGTGGTTTAAATGGATATCAGTGGTTTAATTCGACATCAGTGGTTTGAACAGACATAAGTGACGTAAATAGATATAAGTGGTATAAATAGCTATAAGTGATTTAATTAGATATAAGTGAATTAATTAGTGATTAATTAGACCATGACATATTCTCATGACGCGATGTCATAGGGATACAATCATTCGATATCATCGAATATCCACAGTGTTGTAGGCGGGTCGTATGTTACAAATTCCTTCACATCACACGTTCTGAAATGAAATAATTGTTCAGCTGCTCATTTCGGAGAAACATACGGGATGTATTCAAGCCATGGCCGAAATAATGGCGCAGATATCTAAGACACTAGCTGAGATTTCCGGTTCAGACATACTCTTAAAGGGTTGCTCCCTTCTGACGCCCCAGAAACCTGTGACCAATGGTCGGAGTCGTAGAACCCCCATGTTTCTGGCCAGGTGCTCCCCAGAGTGATCAGCACTTGGGCCGTACGTTACTTGGACATGGCCTCCCACATGACCTGGCACGCCGTGACCTGGGACTTACCGGCGTTAAACCCAACTCACTCACTCACTCACTCATGCATTCCTTCCTTGTTTCAGACACGGGCGCTTCAACGGCGGCACTGGGCACGGAGATAATTGTTCTAATCGTTATAGTCGTCCTTATCCTCCTCATCATAATAATAGTCATCATAATAGTCTGCTACAAGAAAGGTATGTATAATTTTTTTCTTCTTGTTTTTTTTGCTCTGACAACGTACATAGCTGTATAATGTACTGGCACCGTTGCACACAGCAGATTATTGCCTTCCTATCAGTATACAGTGGTGATACTTTAGTAGTTCAAGACTTCTTAATATCACCGTTTAACGATGTGTGTTAACGTAACGGTGTTTGAACGGCTTGTTCAGACGTGGTACAGGTGATGACGGAGTAGGAATATACTCTTAAATGCCATGTTTCTCACAACAAAGAAGCTGACATACATAAATTCTCGCCTTTACCTGGTTTACGGTTTTCATGAAATATAAGTGTTAGTGCAAGTGATTTATAACTATTGTATAATACCGAGGACATTATGAAACGTGTTAAGAAAACTGAGACCTTTGTGCAAGTTATCGTCGATTGTTGAGTGCGCCATATACCTCCATAAATATACCGGAGCCTCTGGCTATTATACCAGATTGGTACCGATTGGAGTGAGTGAGTGAGTTCGGTTTTACACCGCTTTTAGCAATAGTCCAGAAATATCACGGCGGGGACACCAGAAATTGGCTTAACACGTGGGGAATCGAACCCGGGTCTTCAGCGTGACGAGCGAACGCTTTAACCAGAAGAGAGACGCGACCCTAAAACAGGCGTGTAGTGTGGCAGGATGACCCAGCCGGAACTCTGGTGGAGGAAGCAGGTCCAAAATGTTTGCCACAACGCAAATAGTCTGTACTGTCGAGGGCGGTGCAAACACCACATCAGTCTTACTGTTAGATTCTTCTTGTCAATGTATGTTATAAATACTGTAGTGATAACCAGGTTTGTTGTGAAAAGTACATTTATCCTATCTTACGCCCCTGAAGTGAATGGGTACATGGAAGTCATATATTGATGTCATGAATATATTTTCACATTCCATTTCTCTGCGGCGTCCGTTTCTAAAAATACAGGGTAACTGCGACATTTATATTCTCTCAATTGTAACTATGTTCACAGAGTTCTCTCCCCTTTTTGTTATACACACAAGAAACCATATCAAGATTATTCGACAGTTCATCACTTGAACACACAAAGTCTCACTTTGAAAGACATTTCAGATATTGTACAAGCATATGTTCCAAATGAAAAACATAAAAGTGTGATGACTTTTGATGGAGCCATGGTAATCTGTGGTAGATATTACTGGTTAAGGCTTGAGACTCTTAAGGGAGAGAACTCTGCTTGTCTCCATCTGGATTAAGTGTCGATATCTTCTTCCTGCCGTCACCCTGGTTCTACAAAGCCTACTTAGCGCAGCGATAACCGATAATCGTAACACACCTCATTGTTCACTTTATCAGTCCGGTTATCGGGACGCTGTAGTCGGTTTATAGAACGGGCCCTGTTTACTAACATTCCCCCCGGATCTAACTCATAAATGTCGCTTTTACTTCGTAAGATGATATGTGGTTTGTCCCTCGACATAGCCCTGTGTAGTGTCGCTTCTCTGCTTTCGATGTAGAAACCTGCTCTTTTTTATAATTACCAACTGGCCTGATTACAGTCCATCCCCTTACATACGGGCAACAAGATACGTCACTATGTACTCATACTCTAACCACATCACGTGTACAGTTAAACCTCGTTAATGTGAACGTTAAATACATTTCCGGATTAACCAGTCACGATAACGGATTTTATCTTACCTCACACATAACTGTCGTTTTCTGACTGGCTGAGCGCTCTTCTGTTATTTTCAATGTAACCCACTTACAAGCGAGTAACATTGTCAATGTCAATGGAATTCATTTGGTACATTGTGTTAGTAATTCTTCTTCACAATAATTGAGTCACGTATGATGTACGGAGATAACCGATGTTTTGCGAATGCAAATCGATGGAAGGGAGGTAATTCTAAACTCGATATTGGTTAATTGCCTAACTCTGGTACTCCTTATTATGACCCGATACCCGTGCTTCAAACAGTTCAAAATCAACATTGAGGTGTTCGGTAAGATAAATACTTTGTTCACATGTCCCTTTAAACATAGAGGGTACATCAGCTCATGTCCCCCTCGTGGCCAGTGAACAAATATTATGTCACTATGTTCAAATCGAGAGTCGTCCCGAAGGTAGTTTCCTTGTTGTCAGAGTTTGTATTATGGAGGTTTAACTGTACACATTACAATTAATTAATATGTTGTTCATTCCACTGATTATGTAAATCTTGTCTCACCAGAAACCACACCTGACTTGTCAACTTCTTTACGTGTCCGTTCACATCACAAATCGTATCTGAGTGTTGTGGCCACATTCGTGTTTTGAATGTATCTAACTAACTAACTAACTAACTAACTAACTAACTAACTAACTTCAATTGTTGCCGAGCTTAGTTTCAATAATTCACCATGAAACAGACCATTCAAGTACACCCCTTGCTTCGTAGATAGTGTTTCCTATTTTCATGTTGATCAGAATGGTATTATTTATATAGCTTTACGTGGCTACATATAGAACTCCCACTCGTATATACTCACACACACGTATACAAAGAAACACATACTCTCTCTCTCTCACTCTCTCCCTTTCACACACACACACACACACACATTTGCTGAACACGAACAAGCACGTTTTCGGAGATGCTGAGTATCTTTTTAAGGAAGCAAAACCCACTCAACCTGTGTTATAGAGACAGCGGCATATGGAACCTTTTCACTCAATTGTCAAAACGAAATGTTGAAAATCTATATGTAGTAAGAGTTCATGTATGGAAGTTCTGACCAGCAAAACCCACTCTCTGTCCATCTAAATTGTATGTCCCTCAAACATCACAAACCGCAATGCTTGAAGTTCCTCTCACTCCCTCACCAGTCTAATGCGTAAAAGACACGTTTCCGTTGAATGGCCCAGTAAGATACACACATATACACCAACCTGCATGGCTGTAGGTTCTGGCTGCAGGTTCTGGCTGTAGGTTCTGTCTGTAGGCTCTGGTTGTAGGTTCTAGCATGTCAATGTATCGTTCCGCTGCTGCTAATGTATGGTTTAGCCATTCTGTCGTGCAGTTGTGTATTTGTGTGATAACAATTAGACGTAGTTGTGTACAGCTAGTATGTCCGTATAACACACTGTCACATTTCCTTCCATTCTCGTGTAGGTGATACATAATTCTGAAGCTGTACGCTACGTGTGACCAGAAACATCCATATATGCCCAAACAATGATTCGTGTGCCATCGCGTTCAGAGTAAGGTGCTTAAAACACCTGGTGAATCACGTGACATCATTTCCCTAACTTCTTACTCAGGCTGACAATCACAAAGATGCTTGATTCAGACTCAAAAGAAACTTGTAGGTCGCCATTTTTAACCTGCACTATCGATGAGTGCATTTGACGGTTAACAGTCATTGAACACAAACATTTGGATCCGCTCTTCTCAACAAAACAGTAACCATCATCCTCTATATTCTGTATACAGGGTAGTTGTTGCATGGTGTGAGTGAGTGAGTGAGTGAGTGAGTGAGTGGGTGGGTGGGTGGTTGGTTGGGTGGGTGAGTGAGTGCGTGAGTGGGTGAATGAGTGAGTGCGTGGGTGAGTGAGTGAGGGAGTGCGTTGGTGAGTGAGTGTACCACTGCATTTGGCGGCGTATCAGCTTCATGTCGGAAACATAAACCCAAAGTAATGGAAATACACAGTCATTAAATCCTGCAGTGGGACATGAACTACACAATACAAGGACACCCCATTCACACATCTACATTCCAAATCCCCCCAACAAACCACACCTCCAGCCCAGCCCCTCCCGCATGAAGCAGTCGGCACCAGAGCCCTGATTCCTGTATGTAATTTGTGGATTTTCTGTCTCAGGAAAATGCGGCAAAAAGAAAGAGACGAAAGGTCGCGTGGCTCCTGTGGTTCCCCCGTTAGTGGCCAAGACGGAGGCTACGCCAACAGCTGTGGAGACGTCCTCTACTGACCCCGAGAAACCGTCTGTCAGGTTTGCCGCCTAAATATGTCTAGATGTGTCATTAACACTTGTGTCATGGCGTCTATTAACACCTGTGTCATGGCGTCTGTTAACACCTGTGTCATGGTGTCTATTAACACGTGTGCTGTATTCATACTTGGAGAGGAGCCGCACGGCATTGGAATCAGACAATGAAGGTGAAGGTCATCCCAGACTCATCGCTGATCCACGTGTTCCATTAACCTGACTAACACATGCTGTGTGTTCTGCTGTTGGGTCTTGGTGTATCTGTGTTATATACGTCTAAATGTGTCATTATATACTGACGATTACTGCGTGTATAATTAACACATTTGTTGCCGTGCCTAAATAACATATGTTCTGTGTTGTGTTGTTGTGTCTTGAAGTATACTTGCTATCTGTGTCGGAATGTGTCATTGCGTGCTTATAGTGTACTGTTCTTTAACATGTGATGTTTATGTCATCTTCTAATAGAATGGTTTAACAAAACGAAAAGATTAACTAATATTATAAAAAACTCCTGGCTGCCATATGTCCGAGAGGGTATAGCTATTGCTACTTGGTTACCACGTCACCACGTGGATATGGTGCCACCCTGTTACTTGGTTACCACGTCACCACGTGGATATGGTGCCACCCTGTTACTGGGTTACCACGTCACCACGTGGATATGGTGCCACCCTGTTACTTGGTTACCACGTCACCACGTGGATATGGTGCCACCCTGTTACTTGGTTACCACGTCACCACGTGGATATGGTGCCACCCTGTTACTCGTCTATGAGATGCCTCCGATGACTGAAAAATGTCTAATGCGGCTTGGAAGCCAACGCGCCCATCGGCATTGACGTTACTGTCTCGGTATTGCATATCAAACCTGATTCGTTTTAAGAATAACAAGTAACTTCATATCGTTACTTTAAACTTTGCTTGAGCGGCGTTAATCTCACAATGCGTCGCTGCAAGATGTACGACTTCTCTGTATGACATATGCCAATGTGATGATATATTTATTTATATATATATATATATATATGTGTGTATGAGTAAGAAAGCTGGCTTATCATGAACTGTCATTAGGCTGTGTTGCTGCTGTGTTAAATGTTATTGTGAAAATACTCTGAATATGATACTTCCAGACTAATCATTTATGATAATCTAACATGTTGTATAAATGAGTGCTTATTTAGTTTCTTGCATATATTCTTGATATAATGTAATGTATTTGACTGAGAGGCATATGTGCTATGTAAATGGACGATCTGTATATATTTGCACTTGATTAACAAATCTATTTAAGTCAGTTACTGCTAGAGTAGTCGACATTTCATGTCCATATACACACCCAGGGTATGACAGGGTAACTAACCAATCCACCCTTGTGTTTAGTAAATGGAGTGGCCAGGTGAGATAATGAATGTAAGTCACCATACACTAGCATGGGTGGACTCGCCTTGTTCACAGAACATGAACACACTGGTTCGTGAAGCACATGTGCATGTGTGTATGCTCACGTTAAGTCAGAACACTCAGACTACACACTCACACACACACACACACACACAGCCAGAGACAGAGATACAGACACACACACGCACGCACACGCACACCCGCTCACACACGCACACGTACACACACACACACACACACACACACACACACACTCACACACAGACAGAGACAGAGAGACGCAGCACAGCACATTGGCGGAAGAGGTGACGTTACATTAAAATGTGAACACAAACATGTTATTAACGGAAAACCTCATTTATTCAGAATGCTCATTCAACGGAAACCCAGTGTAATATAAGTATAATATAGCATGTATCACCACACAACACATGAAAGGTCACACCATGAAAGTTACACAGCACCATGAAAGGTTACACAGCACCATGAAAGTTACACAGCACAATGAAAGGTAACATAGCATCATGAAAGGTTACATAGCATCATGAAAGGTTACACAGCACCATGAAAGGTTACACAGCATCATGAAAGGTCACACAGCACCATGAAAGGTTACATTACACCATGAAATGTTGCATCACGCCATGAAAGGTTACATTACACCAGAAAAGGTTGCATCACACAATGAAAGGTTACATCACACCATGGAAGGTCACACAGCACAAACTAAAAGTTACACAGCATCATGAAAGGTTACATTACACTCTGAAAGGTTACGTATTATCACAAAGCGTTGCAAAACACCATGAAAGGTTACACAACACCATGAAAGGTTACATCACACCATGAAAGGTTACATATTATCACAAACCGTTGCACAACACCATGAAAGGTTTTACAGCATCATATACTGTTACACGGTATCATGGAAGGTTACATAGTATGATAGGAGGTTACACGGTATCATGGAAGATTACATAGTATGATAGGAGGTTACACGGTATCATGGAAGGTTACATAGTATGATAGGAGGTTACACAGCATCATGGAAGATTACATAGTATGATAGGAGGTTACACGGTATCATGGAAGGTTACATAGTATGATAGGAGGTTACACAGCATCATGGAAGATTACATAGTATGATAGGAGGTTACAGAGCACCAATAAAGGATGCATGTACATAGAACCACGTAGCATGTACGGTAAAAAGCGACATCGGAGCCAGACGGTATTGAAATGCTGACACTACTGTATGCCACTCACTTATATCTCTATGCATGTCATGTATTGTAGACCCCGTCCGCAATGGTCAGCTGTGTCGAGGCAGGATGTGCACGTCAATGTCAATAATCATGTACATAAAGAGCACGACAAGATGAGGTATATGCAGTCACTGTGTGTTCGCTTCTGTCACTGTAGCGTGTGATTAGTTACATGTCTGTATGCCAGCACCGTGTCCGTCCTTTCACAACCATCTGCATATATACAAAGCATATCTTTTCGTGTGGTGTACAGTGATGTATGCCTGATAACACACCAGAACCTGTCTAGTTGACCGTGTATACAATCCAGCTGTAAGTACACGTCTTATATGGGACATATAGAACACACGACTTCTCCTACATGTCATGTTCATGGTCTATATGCATATAGTGTGAGCTGAGACAACTAACACCTTCAGAGTTGTACAGGTAAAACGCTGTCAATACTTCACGGTTTAGTATCCATAAACAATCTTACTTTCTTACGGTTAAGTAATCCTTCATCATCTGTAAGCAGATACCGCTGTGGTTTAGTATTAGCACTGGTGCCAGGAACGCATTCTCGGGTCACATGAGACAAAAGGAAGTATTTCTGGTGCTACGTGTGTTTCTGCCTTGAAAAGTTCCATAAACGGGCACCTGTTGGGTTCAGACGGTGTCCGTCCCCGATGCAGGGATTTTTGGCCTTATGTGAGTTGTTAATGTCCTCGTGTCGTTGTTGGGGACTGGTAATTGGCAGGCTCCATTGTTAGCCCGGTGATCGGCAGTATCTGTACAGGTGATGAGGTTGTATCCCACGTGAAGTACTGACGGTGTCAGAAGCCATATTGCATGTCAGCCCTTCTTAATTATGTGAATAAATGTATTCCAGTACAGTTTAAACAAAACACTTCCCATTGTGTAAATGTATCAATGTTGATAAGCACGAGGGCCCTGTTGTCTGTTTGTGTTGCCATAGTCTGAACAAATTACAATGATAACGCCCAATAACCGTGCCTAATTACAGTGTCTTACTTTGAGAGCGAGGCTATATCCTGCAATATGTACACTGGTAGTCTAGATGTGTTGTGTGTTCCTTAGATGCTGGAGTAGAAACTCTGTGTGCTGTGTTACTTCCTCTGTGTATATATCTGTAGATAGACTCACATTAGTGTATATTATACGGCACTGTATGTACCCAAGTGCCATAGTAACAGTATGAATCATTTAGCGTCTGTATGTCTATAACTGTAGGAGGGACGGCGGAGTATACTGGTTGTTAAAGCGCTCGCTTTGTACCACGAACGTCCCTGTTCCTTTGCCTATATGACTGAGTTTTCACTGTATAATATTTCTGAGGTATTGCTACACGTGGCGAATATGACGAACATTCCACCTATCACTTCATTATACAAGAGTTGTATATATTAATGTTTCGTGAACGTATCAATGTTTCGTGAGTAATACACGATACATGTAGATATCGTCTAAGTCCCTGGTGTTCGGGGATTTGTAGGGACCATCTCACTTCATCTACCGGAATATTGCCAGAAGTGGTGTAAAATCCCTCTCATTCAGTCAGCGTGTCCAGAAATTCGCCCGTTGATCGTCGTCTTACGATGCATGTACGGTCATGGGTAATGTTAACATACAATTTTTGCAATTCGAGTGCACAGTCTGAATATAATATACAACAACACAAAGTTCAATACAATACTCACTGGGGCGTTTCATAACAATAATGACGTTTGAGAACGTCGTCAGTGTTTTGTCATATAACGTTTACTAACAGCCTATATCCACATCTATGTTCTGCTTCATTGAAAGTGATGTAATATATATTCTCTGATGTTCCTTATGTTACTGTAGCATCCTATACTAGAAGATCAAAAACCGAGAAGAATATTTCCGTCCTCGTTGTGCCATATTGTCTCACACTAGCTGTACCAGCTCATTTACAGTATAACATTGTTTCTCGGTTCTCCGTGTATACCCCTGTCCTGTGTCTAGATCCTATCACCTCTCTATATGTACATAGTGTGAGGCAACATCACATTATCTTGGCAGCAGTATCATGAATGTTTCACAATGTGATATTGTATTTCCCTTAGGTATGTAATAAGAACTTCGTAATACATGTTCACACATAGATATCGACATTTCGAGTAAGTGGAGTTGTAGTAGAAGGCAGGGATTCTTCGGGGACATATGATTGTGTTAAATGATAGATTGGTTTAAGACAATGTATAACTGTATATAGAACAGAGTTCTTCAGAAAATGCAACATTATGGAGTCCAAAACGATATATACATGATTGTATGACTTTTCAAGTTAGTGACGAGTTATTGAACATATTGTCCGTTCATGAACGAGTTCTTAATATCCCTGATGACGTCAATAGTAGCTTGTGATTAGAATGACGTCATATATGTAATGGTATGTGGCCAGTGTTGTGTCGTCAAGGCCGGGTTTGATTCCAAACATGGTCACCTCGTATGAGGACTTGTGTAGATATTGTCGTGATATGACTGAGGTATTGCGAGATATGCGATCAGACAATAGACATTAACGCTAGTATTCAAGATCGCGTGATATAAATGTCAAGGTCAAGTATATGTATGTACGTATGTATACATTCCTGTATTACACGTGTAAAATGTGTCACGTGCTATGTACCATTCAGCTCATTGTGTAGTGGGAAGAAGAATACAATATTTATTTTCCTGTTTTATCATACCGTTACATAACCTCACAGCAGACATTAGGTAGACAAGCACAAAGGACGTGTATATGTTTAATACGTCATTTGGGTCACGTGATAATTTGAATCTCAGAAAAATGTGTCTAATTCTATTGTTTTGTTATTATTTTCATTGCATATACATTGTTATAAAATTAAATAAAATAATCTTTTAAGGTGTTTTTTCCTTTTTTGTTTGTAAGTAGTATTGTTATACATGTATATGTCTTTTGTGTTTCACATTTGGTATTTAATCAGGGATCCATAAGTGTTTGACAATCCAGTGGTACTAGTATTTCTATAATCTCCATGTGACTTCACTGTATTCCCTGAACCATACCGCCGCCATAGCTTCATATGTAAACCGATTGTAATGACATGAAACAAAGCTATGATCCTCAATGTGTCCAGGATGCATATCACAATACCATGGTGATAATGTACACTTCATTCAACCTTATTATATATTAAAATATACATCCAAGCTACGGTTAACATGACAACGTAGGTAAGTATTCCAACTCAGGTGTTCACAGTGCAAGCAAGGATTTCCCCATTAGCCGTACTTGATTGTTATGTGTAAACTAATTTCAGTGTTGAAGATGAAACCGCTGGAAATGGAACAATTCCTAACGGAGCACCTGCTGGGGGCCCAATAATGTAAGTAAGAACGTGGCATCATGCTCAATAGCTTAAATAACGCAACAGTTTAATTTGTATTCTCAGCAAAATCGGTTTAGTTCACTGAAGAGATTGACTGCAGGCGACATGACGAGTCTAGAAGCTTCTCTGATGCCAGTGTGTTTCCATGGCAACCCACGTGCATGTTTTGTCTTACGTAACGTCAATGTTATGGACACTGTGTTTCGGTAATGGTTTGGTAATTTTGATAACTGTTTATTTAGTGCATTAATACTATTTGATAATCATTATTATATCGGTCTGTTATAATGAGTGAGTGAGTGAGTGAGTTTAGTTTTACGCTGCACTCAGCAATATTCCAGCGGCGATATATGGCGGCGGTCTGTAAATAATCGAGTCTGGACCAGACAATCCAGTGTTCAACAGCATGAGCTTCAATCTGCGCAATTGGGAACCGATGACATGTGTCGACCAAGTCAGCGAGCCTGAACACCCGATCCCGTTAGTCGCCTCTTACGACAAGCATGGGTTACTGAAGGCTCATTCTAACCCGGACCTTTACGGGTCCTATTATAATGGAAGACCAATGCCAGTCAGATCACCTGTAGGTTGCTTCAGGTGTTCCAGGATCATCGGTAGCTTCGTCCTGGAACGCTGTCCAAGGTGTCCTTTAGGTGTTCCAGAGGCTTATAGCCATTGGATCGAGTTCCGTCATGGCCTGCTATTCCTTGTCACAACCACGTTCGGGTTATAAGACCCGAATCTCTTAAAGTACTGTTTAAAGCAATGTAATAAAATCCTAACCAATTATGATTTCTCAATTGAAGTATTTTAAGTATTGGATGGATTTACCTTTACAGATCAATTAAGGACCCGGATGATACTCCCAGAGCACATCACTTACCTCCCCTACATTACGGTGGTGGGGACAACGGTGAGGAAAATGCAGAGGAGCGGCGAAGAAGGAGAAGGAAAAAGCGAAGGAAGCGCCAGGACGAAGGGGAGACAACCGAGCAGCCCAAGTCAGACACCATAGACGAGGAAGAGGAATAACTTGACCACGTCACATGGGAGATACTTCTGTGGAACCAAATACTATGTAGCTGTGGCTGTGATATACGTGAACTCCAAATGACCTTTGACTGGAGTGTGAGCATCAACGACAAAGAATATAATTGTTACTATTTATTGACAAGTTCCTTGAAAGGATCTCATCTTGTGACCAAACTCTCAGCAGCAGTTGTTGCTGAATATCAGTGCCTTCCGTCCCAACCTTGACGTGCATATTCTGTTCCCGCCGGTGTCCTGTCCACCCAATCTTCTGACATCGCTGACATCGCTGACATCGCTGACCTCTGACACAACGAGACCATGTGACGTTAATCAGGGCAGAGGGGAAGACGTTGTCCTTCTGTTACGTCACTATGACTACACAACTGGGTTTCCCAGTGTTCAGTGGCTGCATGCACGTATGTTACTATGACTACGCAACTGGGTATCATGATCTCAGAGTGTTGATGATGCTGTTCGGTGATACCATGGTGCAAGACACCTGCTGTTACAGGTGTTACAGGTGTTACAGGTGTCACAGGTGTGATATAGACAACGTTCACCCACAGTATGGTCCATGTACACAGTGCCAGTAATGTCCCAGTCAGTGTACAAAGATTTCCTTAGTTAAATAATGTATACACAGACTCTGAACATGTTGAACTAAGTTCCCTCGGTGAACCGAATAACAGGGTGCAGTTGTTGATTGAACATGTTTTTTATAGTAGTTTGTAACGATATAATCTTTCAAATGTGCACATATTGCGACGCCTAGAAGGGAGAAATCACGTTTGCATCATCAACGACAATATCAACTTTCTCCTTGTCCTTATTCCTGCCGACGTTGTTACTCCCTCAGCTATGATTGTTGGGTTAGCTAGGTAGCTTCAGCACGGATCACGTGCGTGCATACCCATATGTGCCTTTGCAGTCATTGAAGGCATTGTCATGTCTACTGACACGCCTTCAGTACATATATATAGATGCACATAAAGTTCTCACTTCAGATAGGAATATTAAACTGTATGTTTCAAATAGTTCCTGCATTCTCCACCTTGAGTAGCACCTGACAGTGGTTGACAGGTGATTGTATGTTTAACTGAATTATGGAGATGAAAGGAACACGATGTTGTGGTATGGACAACTTGGATCTTACAACTATAACCATACTTAAACTATGTATGATTGGGAGACAAACCTCCCTTACAACGTCTTGAGTCAATCCTGAATCAAACTGCTTTCCTGTGTTGCCATCTGTGGAATGACCGATACGTTCCAACGACTTCCTTTGTAGAACACTTCCAGATTTGGATTATGTGAATTCGTCCGTAAGCCGATATTCAGCTTGTGTAGATTCCAAATTAATCTGACACTGATCAGAGGCCACACCAAAGTGAAACCAAATCGGGCTGCTCTTTCTGTGATATAAATGACACTGTTCAGCGTTTAACCGACTCACTGTGTAATGTCAGTGTTAGCGTCCCGTCCAAAGATTGCTGGCCATGCCAGTGTTGTCATCTGCTGTCACTCGTATATAACGGTACAAGCTGGCAATGCCGTTACAGAACTCCTTCCATGCATAGGTCAACGTGATCTGTCGTCTTCAAATCATTGTAATTATAAAGTAGTGTTTTCATCCTGTCATTACATGTCTGCCAATAGAAATAAATGCTTAATGGTATATCATAATGAACATTAATTTCGATTAATTTTGTTAACGGTTAATTTGATCATTCAATGCCGTTGCAGCAACATTTGATGAATATTTTCAAACGAGTTTCAACTTGTTAGCCATTAGATATTTCAGAGTTTTATTCAAGTAGTTTGGAACTGTCACTAGTTATCTCCTTCAACAACATGTCCATATAGTAGGTGAGGTTTAAACACGTAGAGGAATGAGATATTTCTATATTTCTATATTTTCTATTTTGCATTATGGTTGTAGAAGCCGCCACAGCGATGTTGTGATGTTGGATGTTACATACATATTTTATGTACAGTATTTATTGAAATAATGCATTTTCTATGTCGTGAAATACATGCATATAAAATATGTACAATACCACCACTGGTTGTTTTGTGTTACAGGCTTCAGAAGAAATGACTGGAGAATATATCACTCGGATGTCCACACACTGCCGAACTAATTGTATACTGTTACGATCACTGGTCTTACTTTGATAAATCAAAACATAAATCCAAGATCAATGAATACACATGGTCTTTAAAATCTAACTAAATGTATTTAGTGAGGCATCTTATGATCATCAGAAGCTTAGCATAATTAGATAGAAAAGCCCGGGCTTACACATGATTTTTGCTATGAAAGTTGGGCAAGCCGTCAATACTATCTAAATATATAGCTTTTCAATCTATCGGGCTTGCACGAAAAACAAATGGCCTGCTAGACGCCTGATCATATTATTACGTTAGGATCTTATTATCAGTACTATGATGTGACATCTGTGCGTATAAAGTGTAGATTTTACTGGCGTTTCAAACATTCACTGGCTGCCGGGAGGGCGAAGTGCAAATGTGGTGAGATAGGGTAACGTGATAGGGTAACATGCAGTGTCCAAACTGACGCTGTGCTGAGGAAATTTGATGATGTGTTCCGAAATGGCTCATTTGGTGCCTGAGTTGTTTGTGGATGTCTTGTGTTCTTTAATGCGAAGTGTTTTTGAATGCATCTTCGAGTGCATAGTGGTTGGAAATTCGTCTTAAGATAAATTCTATCATGTCTCGTACCGCGAACAGCACCGCAAATAATTGTAAGTGCATCAAGATTAAGTTTTTTTAAGTGTTAATACTTGCTGTTTGGTACAATTGTCCCAAATGTGACAACAATAATCGAAAATAGGCATAAGAAATTGTTTGTACATTGTAAAGTTTTACGTGAGATACGATGAAGAATAATTATTATATATACAACTTCTTTTATTCTGTGGAGGCGACGTTACGACATAGGTTCTAATGTCGTTGTCAAGCAAGTGATACCTGAGTCAAAAATTGAGAGAATATATACAGGAGTAGTGGTTACAGTAGATAGGGAATGTGTTGTTTATACAATAGATGAGGTTGATGTACAACGTTTGTACGAGAGATTGAGTAAATTGATAGGAAGCCAGTAGGGTGACATACAAGGACTGAATTAGAGCTTATACAACTGATAGGAAGCCAGGTGGATGTTTTATACAATGGATGGGGTTGATGTACATAGTTGGAATAAAACAGGTAATGTACACAAGAAATATTGTTGATTACTTTATCAAGCGATGGTAGGCATTGGGAATGTAGTATCCTTCATCTCTGTTGAGGGCGGGTCCTATCTTCTTGATGTGTACTGCTTCCAAACTTTTACGAATTTTGTAGTCTGACTGGTTCTTTACGATGGTTTTGGCCTTGTCCCATTTGATGCTGTGGTTAGGATGGGCTTTGATGGTTACCATGGGTGCAGCCTTTTTAGCAATACAGATTACATGGTCAGTCCAGGAACAATCGTGCTGTAAAGTAAGTCCCAAATGTTTATGGCTATGAAGTCATTAATATTACTATCGTTCATTGTTAAATTTCGTTTTGGGCTGGGCTGTATTTTACGAGAAAATTGTATAGAGTCTGTTTTATTAGGATTAGATGTAACTTGCCATTTGTCAGCCCAATCAGAAATTTTACCAAGATCATTATTTAGGCACAGAGCAGTTTCATCAGGACCTGCTATTATTATAAAGTAATGTGTCATTTGCGAAGAGACGGATATTGCTGTTAATTCCTTCAACGATGTCCTTAATATAAGCTATAAACAGTAGGGGTCCTAAGACAGAGCCTTGGAGAACCCTAGCGAAGACTGATCTTTTTCTCTTGTATTTAATCGATTTTGCAATCGACTCTTTGATAGTGACGTATGCAAGACAATGATCGCTAGGCACAGGATCTAGAACACCCGATCCAAGCGCTAACACTTGAAACACAAATAAGATCAATTAATGTACCAGAACTAGGTGTAATCCTTGTAGGTTCAGTTATAAGATGTGTTAGTCCAAATACCTATTGTGATTGATTAATTTTATAACTTGTGGCAATGAGAAGATGATTGTTAGTCACCAACTACAATTGTGTCCATATTAAGATCAGCAGCGTAATTGACAGAATCTTCGATTAAATCCAGTAAGCTTCTGTTTTGTCTGCCCGATAGAACGTTCCTATAACATAATTCCGTTTTTTACCTCTTACTTAATCCACATCGCCTCAAGCCCAGCTATAGTTAAATTCTCCATATATTCAAAACTCATTTTACTTTTTACATACAATGCGACACCCCCGTCGCTGCGCTGTCCATCATTTCTGAGAGATGAATGGAAACCCGGAGTTGAAATATCGTTACTACTTATACCGTCATGTAACCATGTCTCGGTAAGACATATGACGTCGTAGTATCAGAACTCTGCCTGAAGTATGTCAACTTTATCTTTAAGGCTACGCACATTTAAATGCGTTATGTTCAGTTCATGATTATTCAATAGACCTGGGTTAGGATGAATATCATCGCAGATCAAGAGAATAAGTGATACTACCAAGGCGACTTTGGCATGGTATCGGCAAAACCAGTAGTAAAGAATAAGAGGTATTTTTAAAACTTATTGGCAGATTTGTTTTGAATGTGACAAACAAAAGATGTAGGAGTTGAATTGTATATTTATGTACGAAGAACACAAATGCAAACTCCATGCTTAATTAATGTATAGTGACACAATCATACCTGTTTTGTGAGAGTAATTTAAGAGAGAGACCGGAGCAGCTCGGTGAGTTTGTTGATATTATGTGCAGTTCCATTGACACTTTCACACAGAACTTTGATAACAATAATCATAATGACATTAATAAAACCATAACCTGCTTGCTTGACCTGTTCAGACACTGTTTTTCTCTAACTGATACCCCACACTCCCATACACGTAACACTCACAGACCAAAGCACTAACAAATACAACCTAAGTGGTTTGACAAAAAAATGTGAAAGTTTAAAACGCTGAAAGTATACACTTCTCGATAGATTCAGAGCGACAGCCGATCCTGTGCATTGTACCGAGTATCTCGATGCAAAACGAGACTTTAAAAAGCTATGCAACCACAAAAAATCGGTATATAAGAAAGATATTGAAAATGAAATTTTAGATACAGCAAAGAGCAATATATGTAAAGACTTTTGGAAGGCCATTAAGAAACAGCGAATCGAAACGCAGTTGTTGTAATATATCAGCTGATAACTTCAGTTAGAACATTGTTATTTCAATACTATTATGCACAAGTATGGATCCACCAAACAGTTGGTGATCCTAATATGTTCTTAAAGCTATTCAAACAACGCTGTAGAGACATATATTACCAAGAATGGTCATCCGATATTGCAAGCTCCAAATATTTGTGTGCATATTCACATGACATTGTCTATGAACATAGTTAAAAGTATAATCCTCTATGCAACACCGCAGATCTTTTACCAAATTTAGATGTGGCATCAATAAACTGAATGTACAAACCTATAGAAGATCCAAAGATGATGATATCAGTTCTGCCATGTGCACCCATTGCATCAATATTGTCCAGGAGGAGCACCATGTTCTATTACAATGCCCTGTTTATTCTGAGAAGTTTGTAAATTTACTTAATACCCCAAATGCAAATGTTATTGTACGCCTAGCCACATTAGTAAACAAACTCCATTTTATGATACTTATAAATGCCAGTGTACTTCCAATGCCAGCGCTCCAAAGAACATGATGTAAAAATGTCACTGTACTTTTGACCTCATGGGCACTCTACGAAATAAATCTGTCTGTGAATGCCTATTAAGACATTCTGAGAAGCGCCAGAGTCAACCTGAAGTAGCCTCCAATCAAGATGAATGAATATTACAGGTTGACTGTGAGACATAAGAGGAAGCAAATTATCCCACAAATTATAGATTGCCAACAACTGAAGGTAGATCACCAAACTAGGGACCGTGGCCAGGAAATTGAGCAAAGTTTGGTTTAAGAGAGATTCTAAAATAGTTTCACAATAACATTATGTGATCGTGAAGTTAGCACTAATATTTGCAATAAAACCTGGATTAAGCAAGCCTTGGTATTATGCCTGATACAGGTTTTTCACTATCGCAAAACGCAGTCGTTTGATGACTTATATATGTGAGTTAACTGGTACTGAGTTCCACTGGTTTGGGCAATGTTCCAACAGTACCACAAGTCTGAACACCAGGACATGTATTTATACGTTATGGAGAAGTGAACTCAGGTCCTGTTCGAGCCCAATTCTTCCTATTTGGTACTCCTCGCCATTGATACAAAATTGCCATAACATCGCCAGTGCACTCAAACAGACCATACAAAATGTATTTATTTTTGTCGGATTCTTATCATAAGGGAGTGGTAACGTGAAACATAATTCCAGATCATCATCTTGAACAAACAAACAAACATGTTAAATTCTCAACCCGTGAAGGTCCGGGTTAGAATATTGATCTTCAGTAACCCATGCTTGTCGTAAGAGGCAACTAACGGGATCGGGTGGTCAGACTCGCTGACTTGGTTGACACATGTCATCGGTTCCCAATTGCGCAGATCGATGCTCATGCTGTTGATCACTGTCTGGTCCAGACTCGATTATTTACAGACCGCCGCCATATAGCTGGAATATTTGTGAGTGCGGCGTAAAACTAAACTCACTGTTGAATTCTCTCTTTTGAAAGCATGACCTTGAGCTGTGCATCTAAATCTTGTTGGTAATGGCTGTTCGGAAACAATAATGTTATTGTGTTCCCAGATGTGTCGGCATGCATCTTTTCCCCATAAGAGGAGACATACTGGTCGTCGTATCATGCCTCTGATATCAAGCAATCACAAATTTTCTCAGGGTTTGGATTTACAAGGAAATAATCTTGTTCGGTGGGTCAGCCACGAAACACATCAAGCTGCGCAGTACGCGGTGAAATGGGATGGACGTAATACCTCACTGAGCACAGAGTAGAAGCTTTTAGAGCTTTTATCAAGATTAACAGAATAAGTGATA